GTTCAAGAAAATCAATAGAGGCTCTCATTAGCGCGCCGATCGTACAATCACCGGATTGGGAACTTCCTTTTGAGATTATGTGCGACGCAAGCGACTACGCCGTTGGAGCTGTGCTAGGCCAAAGGAAAGAGAAGAAACTCCACGTCATATACTATGCAAGCCGGACCCTCGACGAAGCACAATGCAACTATGCCACCACGGAGAAGGAGTTATTAGCGATTGTATTTGCATTCGAGAAGTTTCGCTCTTATCTTGTTGGCTCGAAAGTTATAGTGCATACCGATCACGCGGCTCTCAAGTATCTGCTGTCAAAGAAAGATGCAAAGCCAAGACTTATACGCTGGATACTTCTTTTGCAAGAATTTGACCTAAAGATCGTTGATAGGAAAGGCGCGGAGAATGGCGTTGCCGACCATCTGTCAAGAATGAGAATCGAAGAGAGCATACCTATAGATGACTCGTTACCAGAGGAAACGGTCTATGCAGTCAGTGCAATACCTATATCGAGAGAGGAGACCACACCAAGAGCCACCACGGAGAGGAGAATTGCCTTTGGCGCAACTTGGTATCGTCACATAGCTAACTACCTCGCGGCCGACATAGAACCTCCGCACTTCTATGGATACAAGAAGAAGAAATTCCTCAAGGACATCAGATTTTACTTCTGGGACGAGCCATACCTCTACAAGAAGTGCCAAGACGGATTGTTTAGAAAATGCGTGCCGGAGGAAGAGATAGCCGGGATTCTGCATGGATGTCACGGATCAGCTTACGCAGGTCATTTTCCCACGTTCAAGACAGTCTCTAAGGTCTTGCAAGCGGGTTTTTGGTGGCCTACAATGTTTAAAGACGCTCAAGCATTCATCTCACGTTGTGATGCTTGCCAAAGAATGGGGAACATAAGCAAAAGGAATGAAATGCCGCAAAACTTTATCTTGGAAGTTGAGGTATTCGATGTTTGGGGAATTGATTTCATGGGACCCTTCCCCACATCCTTTGGAGATCAATACATACTAGTAGCAGTGGACTATGTCTCCAAATGGGTTGAAGCGCTAGCCGCTCCAACAAATGACTCAAGCGTGGTGATCAAAATGTTCAAATCGATCATATTCCCAAGATTTGGAGTTCCAAGAGTTGTGATAAGTGACGGAGGCTCACACTTCATCATTCAGATCTTTGCAAACCTTCTAAAGAAATATGGAGTGCGGCACAAGGTAGCGAGCCCCTATCATCCACAAACTAGCGGCCAAGTGGAGATTTCAAACAGGGAATTGAAGAGCATCCTACAAAAGACAACCGGGAAGAATAGAAAAGATTGGTCGGCCAAGCTAGACGACGCTCTTTGGGCATATAGGACTGCTTTAGACACCTCTCGGGACAACTCCATTTCATCTCGTCTATGGCAAAGCGTGCCATCTACCGGTGGAACTAGAGTACAAGGCAGCTTGGGCGGTCAAGGAGCTTAATTTCAATCTTAAAACCGCAGCGGAGAGGCGCCTGATCCAATTGAACGAGCTTGAAAAGATCCGACACCTGGCTTACGAGAACAGCAAGATCTACAAGGAAAAGACCAAAGCGCTCCATGATAGAAAGATAGTGTCCAAGTCCTTTGCCGCGAATGACCAGGTCCTGCTTTTCAATTCGAGACTCAAGCTTTTTCCCGGCAAACTACGCTCAAGATGGTCTGGCTCGTTCAAGATAAAAGAAGTCAAGCCATATGGAGCAGTGGTTCTTGGGACCCTAGTAGAGGAGACTTCACCGTAAACGGTCAGAGGCTAAAACCATACCTAGCCAACTCGGAAAAGGGAGTAGAGGAAATCATACCCTTGGCCGATGCACCACAAGAATAAGAAAGAGAAGGAGTCAAGCTAAATGACTTAAAACAAAAGCGCTTTATGGGAGGCAACCCATATGGTTTTCAACTATTTATTTCTATTTTGCAGGAATTTTTCAAAAATCAAACAAAAATACTAAAATATTTTCTTAGGATGAAGACCAAAGGAGACCAAACAATGAAAGTGTCCCACCCAATGAGCCCACCCTTGTACAAGGCGTTTCTCCTACAAAAGGTAAGCAAAATCTCATCTTGTACTCATTCATAATAGCTAATGAACTTAACATGTTAATCGGTTGCACCATTGCACTTAAACCACATCTATTATATGGTTTACAATCGATTTATATATGATAGTTATTGAATGAGATACATAATTACTTGTCCAAACTCATCTCGCTCACTGAAATTACAAGAGATTGAACTATATTTGAAATTTGGAACATTGACCAAGACCAAATAAAAATTTATAGTTTGTGTTTAACTCTCTTGGATTGTGAACTTCAAGTTGGTCACTTGAGGATCTCAATACAAGAAACCATCTAATCATAATTTCAAGTGTTTTTCAAGGAGTTACCATTTGACAGGAAGGAGAAATAATCAAACCTATAACCAACCTCAAAACCAACATGCATATGGCGGCCAAAGGGAGGTTAAAAGGAGATACAAAGGCCATCCAACGAGACAAGGCGGCCACCACTTGGGAATGACACAGGCGGGTTATTAAAACAATTAGGTCGAAGAAAATCTCAATTGGCCCGAGTGGATTTGAGGAAATTCAATCCGTGACATTTCTCTCGGCCATACCGCGCACAAGGAGACTAAATTACGGCCAACTCCTAAACGGCGTGACCGAAGTCCACCAAACTTCACAGGCGACCATTAAATAAAACTTAGGTCGGCAAATACAAAAGATAGGACGTCGAAATCATCACGACTAATGAGATAGACGATGGAGCTCATTCTGGCCAATGGCGGGCAAGCAATATGGCCGACAAACCCAAATCACGGCATAAGCGCGCCAACCGGTTTGAAAACACTTCCCTGAGCTTAACTAACACTTTTATGCAGGAAGAAACGAAAAAGAACGAGCCAAACTTCACATGGCCACGAAACTCCTTCCCGGAGCCGACCTGACCATTTTGTGAAGGAAGTCTCCACCCACTCGTTCAAGTACTCCCAAACTTCACCAGAGGCCATAAAATACCAGGTTGGTCGATGAAATTTCAATATAGGTCATGAAATTTTTGACGGTTTGTTCTGTAGTTCACAGCACCACATTTTGGCCGACCGAATATACCAATCTCGGCCAAAACACAAACCGGCGGAAACCAAGGTCTGAAATTAAAAAATCACCGACCAATATTGCCTAAAGAAGTGTAGAATGACCCAAACCGGAACTTATCTTCATTATAAATTGGTAGAGAATTGGTAACATCATCCTAAACCTTTTTCTTTTCAATTTTTTATTTGAACTTCATGTTATACCTCTCTTAATCTGATTTGCTTTCACCGGGACGGTGCAAGTTAAGTCTGGGGGGATTACTAACTATGTTTGTTCATTTTGGCGTTTTCATTTGCATTTTTTCCCTTTCATCGAGTCGTTTTTATTGAGTCAAAAATTTTGTCGAGAATCATGACATTATCTTGGATCTAACCATGATTGTACTAATGTTTAAGTGACCATTGAGCAGTTCTTGGCAATACATCTTACCACAGGTGCACTATGAGTTGATCGATCTACCAAAAACGCCTACATCTCTAAAGACTTGAGAAGGATCCATCTTTGACTCCGCCCTTAATGAACTTAATCTTCTCAGCTAGGGGCTTGGCATACAAATGGCATGATTCCTCATCCTCTCCATCAAATGAAAAAGTCTTAGTGAGTTCGTGCTTCCCTCTCTCTCCCCTTCAAATTTAAAGAAAAAGCGTAAGGTCCAAGTAACCGGGGATTCGGTGGCAAACACCATCAATACTCGCGTCTATGGAAGGCCTATGAATCCAAGCAACCGGGGATTCGGTGGCAAACACCATCAATACTCGCGTCTGTGGAAGATCCAAGCAAAACCTCTATAATAAAGAGAAGGAGTTGAATAAAAAAATACTTCGCTACCCTAAAAAAGGGATGAATCAACTCAAAGAAGTGAGAAGAGAGAGAGGAGAAACATGGAGTAAAAGACAAGTGCCAAACAAGGGGATGAGTAAGAGTCTAAAGCCGGCTGATCGATACTCCCTAGTTGAGACCACACCTTTAGAAATGAAAGGAGTCAAGGGTGGCGAATTGGATTGTCCAAGGAGAGGTGGACCGCTTTGGGAAAATCGCAAAACTCATGGTATGTACTTTGTTCTTAATTCAAAACTTGCCAATGCTGTTTCATGTGGATTACTAAAGCATAAGTCAATTTGGATTTCCAAAAGATTTGAGAGTTCTCACGTTTTCAAACCTCTTTTCCTGCTTAGTTTGCTTGGGGACAAGCAAAAGGCTAAGTCTGGGGGAGTTGATATCACCATATTTTACATGATTTTACTATATAATTACCTATGTTTTCAAACGGTTTTTGCAAGATTCTTTGCCTTTAGAGGTAGTTTTCTTGTATTTGTGGGATTTGAAGTCTTGTAGGTGAAACCATCAAAAAGGATGCAAAAAGGAGTAAAAGAGCCCTAAATCAAGATCCATGCAAGTTTCCAAGTCAAGAAGACCATTTTATCTCCAAGTGTTAGTTCTCGCTAGCGCGCAGAACGAAGCTTCGGAAGTTTGGCCGCGCGCGGAGGAGTTCCCGACGTCCAAAAGTTACGATCTTGATATGGAAAGATAGATACTTGAGTCATGCATCACGTCGAAGTGGAATGAAGCCATTTGGATCAACTATGAGGCCGGAACTTATTTTCTACCGAGACATGTCCGGTAAGCGAAAACGAAGCCCATGGAGGATTTGGAGTGTCTAATGGCCCGAGCAGCAGCGCCAAAGGCCTTGATCGAATAGAGAAGAGGCCTGGCTAATGTTTGGAGCTTTCCTTAGCACAATGTCGGCCCATACACGACGTGGAGAAGAAGGCTCGGCGCATGAGAAACTTTCCTTTTTCAGCATGAAGAAAACCCTACTCGATCTCGCCCATATATACATGTTTTTAGCCGCTGAGCGCGATAGTCTAGACAGTGTTAAGGTGTGCGCCGTCAGAAAAGAAGAGGAGTAACCCCAGGAAGAAGGAAGAGAAGCCTCTCCGGATCTAAGCCGCATACACGAACGCTCACAAATCGTTGCATCTTTATTCTTGTTATTTTATTTTACGGATTTGGAGTTAAGAGGAAGGATTTGGAGTTGAGAGTCTTGTGAATTGAGAATAACCTTTGAGTTCTTCACCTTTACTTGAGCATAATGCCGTTTGCTTTTCTGATCATCTAGCATCGGATCTTGGGTTAATATACTCTCCAAAAGCTTGTTATATTGCCGGAACTAGTATTTGGTGAGCGATAGTTCACGGCCAACGAAAGTTGAGTTGTGGGGTATTGTGAACAATTAAATCTTGAACATCTTTAATGCATGTTTACAACTTTTAATAACCAACGAAAGCTGAGTCTATTAGGTTGTTTAAACATAGTAGTTGGAGCCACGAAAGTGGAAAAACTATATCTTAGTGATTTAAGTTCGAGAATGGTCTATAATAAACCTCTTTCACTTGATTTCTTTGTTTAGGTTTGTTGCATCTCGGCGATCCACCATTGTCTAGTGTTTCCCCTTATTGATCTCATCCATTTCCATCTATTCATTATTGTCAAAACTCTCTCAAACCATATTTTGCTTTAGCTTGTTTCAACTGTTACTCTTGTAGCACAATCGATAGGTCCTTGTGGATTCGATCCCATACTATACTTACCTCGTTGCTGTGCACTTGCAGGTACTTAAGTTGGGTAAAACTTGAAGACAAACCCAGCTTGCATCAAGTTTTTGGCGCCGTTGCCGGGGACCTTCTTGTCTACAAGATCGGACGAGAATCTAGACTAAAGCGCATTTTACTCTTTAATTGTTTTGTTCTTTTGACAGGCACAACTTGAGCGTGCCATGGCTGGAGAAGTACGTGACCAGCAACCAAATCCTTGGAGGAACCATCTTGATGAGCCGCCTTTGGACGAGGTCCAAGACCGCATACCACGAGAAGGCCTTGGACCGGAGCTTAACCGAGCCGATGGGCTACACCGAGGAGACTTAGGCGATCACCAAGGAGGGGAGAACCAAGAGACCGTTGGAGACAGTGACTCTAGACCAGAGCTTCTCCAAAGCCGTAGCCCTATCCGGACTTACGAGGGCCACCAGTTTGAAATCAAGCCGCGAGTTATCGCTTTGGTAAAACAAAGTCAATACCACGGGCTTATTGAAGAAGATCCGTTGGATCATGTCGATTCCTTTGAAGAATTGTGCAGCACAACTAGTGCAAATGGAGTTCCGGGCGACTACTTGAGATGCCGGCTCTTTACCTTTACCTTGGCGGGAAAAGCACTCAAGTGGCTCAAGTCTCTCCCGTCTCGCTCAATCACTACATGGATGGAGTTCAAGAAAGCTTTTCTTGGTCAGTTTTATACAAAGCAGCGGACTAGTTTGATGAGGAACAAGATCGTTGGCTTTCAGCAAGGGCCAATAGAGCTGTATCATGAGGGATTGGAGCGCTTCAAGGAATACATAAGAGATTGTCCACAACATGGCTTCTCGGAAGTAAACTTGTGGAACACGTTTTATGAGGGAATAAGGCGCGAGCACAAGCTGTATCTTGATATAGCTAGCAACGGGAACTTCATGAGTAAGTCCATAGAGGAAGCCAAAACGTTGATTGATAACTTAGCGGTCAGTGACAGCAAGAATCAACCGAGCTATGAAGAAACGATCAAGGCAATCAACGCGAGACCGGGACTAGTTGAGTTTGAGGAGCTGAAGTCCATGATCGCTAAACTTTTGGAGAGAGAACCGGAGCATCGCCTGAGCCCCCGTGAGAACAATATGCAACGGACCAAGGTCGATGAGTGGGGTACTCTACATAAGCAAGCAAGAGATACAACATCCGGCTGAAACCCGACTTGGCGCTAAGGAGCATGGAGGAGAGCTCAAAGCCTTGATGTATGAGTTCATTGGTGAACAGAGAAGAGCGAACAAGGAGATCAACGAGAAGATACACTATGTGTATCACGACTTGAACAATAAATTTGGGTCGCTGGAGTCGCACATCAAGGAGCTTGATCTTCAAATAGCAAACATAGCCGGTACAATCAAGAAACCGCTTGGAGTCCTCCCGGGTCGAACTGAGGCTAACCCCAAGAAGGAACATATAGCGGCCATCACCCTTAGGAGCGGTACGCAGTTAGACGAAGTGGAGATGCCACCGGAGCTCATAAGGAAAGAACCTCAACCGGAGGTAATATTGGAAAAGGTGGAAGAAGCGGCTGGCGAGCAAACAAAGACAAATCTTGAGGAGAGCACCGCGCCACCAACACCTACTCTGCGCGTATATAAGCCAAAAGTGCCCTACCCCGGATCAGTGAAGAAGCCCAAGAAAGAGAAAGAGCAAGCAAAGTTGAAGGACCTTGTGAGCCAACTAAGCGTAAGGCTCCCTTTTGTCGATGCTTGCATGATTATTCCATCATTGAGGAAGTATATGAAGAGCATACTCACCAGCAACTTGAGTCTAGAAGAGGGAGTGATGTTAATAACAGAAGATTGTAGTCTATCCCTCCAAAACAAAACCCCGGAGAAGCTTGACGACCCGGGGAGCTTTGTTCTCTCATGCCAAATCGGAGGTACGATCTTTAAACGCTGCCTTTGTGACTTAGGGTCTAGTGTGAATCTTATGCCCTATACAGTGGCCAAGCGCCTTGGCATAACGAGCTTTAGACCTACAAAGATTCAGTTGGTTTTTGCTGATCGATCGGTGAGGCGGCCGATTGGTATTGTGAGCGATGTACAAGTCATGATTGGAAAATTTTTCATACCGGCAGACTTTGTGGTGCTGGAACTAGACCAAGAACCGAGAGATCCCCTGATCTTAGGGCGACCTTTCTTAGCCACAGCCGGCGCCATTATTGATGTCAAGGGAGGAAAGATAGACTTACACTTGGGAGACTTGGTAATGAAGTTTCAAATTGACAAAACTTTGGAAAAGCCAACTATCGACGGGTTCTCTTTCTTGGTGGACAATTTAAGCGAGGTGTCTGAAGGAGTGTATGAGGAGCTGATAATGGACGACCCCTTAGAAGTGTCACTAACCCGTGTGGAGAAAGAAGGAGGCTATTTCAGTAGAGAAGCGCGAGACATAGCCAAGTCACTCGATAACGCGGAGACTTACAAAAGCCTAGTAGCTTATGTTGGCTTGGGAGAAGAAGTAATGATCACAAACGCCTCAAGAGATACATCGAAGCCATCAAAGGAGCCATGGAGTGAGTTGAGAGCTCCAAAGATCGAACTCAAGGAGCTCCCCGTAGGGCTAAGGTACGCATTTCTCGGTCCCAACAATACATACCCGGTGATAATCAATTCAAATCTATCAAATTTAGAGACCGCGCTATTACTTTGTGAACTAAGAAAACACCGCAAGTCCCTTGGGTACACCCTTGAGGATATAGCCGGTATTTCCCCTGATCTTTGTATGCACAGGATACATCTCGAGAATGAGTCTAAGTCCTCCATAGAGCATCAAAGGAGACTAAACCCAAACTTGAAAGATGTTGTGAAAAAGGTGCCACCTTTCTTCATGGTCGAGTTGTGTCCCATGCAAAGTCCTTCCTTGCTCCACACGTCCCAAGTGCTCCATAATGACCTGTTTAAGGTTCAAACATGCACATGTATGCAAATGCAATCCTAAAACTACAATGTATGCATAAGAAGAGCAAAACACAAGAAATGATGTTTCGGATGATGAAAAGTATGCAAAAGATGTATAAAAGATGGGCTAAATTCATATAAATTATGAGTACATCAACACCCCCAAACTTATCCTTTGCTTGCCCTCAAGCAAACAAATAGAATAAGGAAGAGGTGAGGTTTGAAAAACAAGTTGGTTCAACCCAAGAACAAACATTCAAAAGTGATTTACTAAGTGTCCAGCTTCAAGATTCTAGAATGCAACAAGGTGAGAGATACTTCTTAAAATCTTAGCCATGCTTAACAAGATCAATCCTGCTTCACAGTCACTCAAACAATGCATTCAAATCCACAAATCCCTTTTACATTCATTAATCAGAACAGTGAACCAAAAACAAGCAAGACCAATCAACTCATTTGGTTAAGGGTTAAGGTCAAGAGACAAAGATGGTCCCTTATAGGTGTTTGGTGGTTTAAAGAACAGGGATCTCTCAAGAGAGTGACCATGCTTTGGCATAAGGCTAAGGGTTAGAACCAAGGATGATGCAAGAGCAGAAACTCTAGCTACCTAATTCAGACTCGATCGAGTTAAGACCCAGAGCCCAGAAAATAAAGAACAACTCCTAATCTACCCTTTCTATTTTCTTTAAGAACAACACAGGGGAACAGTCCGTTGTAGTCTAGCTGGTCAGGATACTCGGCTCTCACCTGAGAGACCCGGGTTCGAATCCCGGCAACGGAGATTTTTTATAATTGTGATTTCAAAAATCCTTTTTTTTTAGCTGACGTGGCAAGGGCGATTTTCTAAGCGATTCTTAGGGTTTCCTCTTGCTCCTCACGCAAGGAGCCGGTGGTCATGGCCGCCGCCTCTCCGCAGTCTCAGGTGGAGCCGGTGACTGAAGGTTCACGGGGAAAGGAAGTGGGTTCTCAAACAACGTCAGAAGCGATGCAGAAACAACCAGTGAAGCTCTCATGGGCTTCAATTGTTCAAAACAAGCCAACTCTTTCAAAACATGTGCTAAACATCCAAGTCATTGACGGAGCCCCCACGGTAGAGATTCCTGAAGAAATCCTCAAGGACTTAGTTCCGCTTTGGGAGGATTTTCTCATAGGCAAGTTTCTTGACACGGCGCCACATGTCGCCAAGGTTCATGTCATAGTCAATAAGATCTGGACATTGGGAGACAAATCAGTCAAGATCGATGCGTTTCCGGTGAATGAAACAACAATCAAATTCAGAATCAGAGATAGTTTAGTTCGAGATAGAATTTTGCGCAGAGGAATGTGGAATATCGCCGACGTTCCAATGATAGTAACAAAGTGGTCCCCGGTGGTGGAAGAAGCACAACCGGAGATGAAATCGATCCCGATGTGGGTTGTCCTAAAAAATGTCCCACACAGGATGTTTTCTTGGCCGAATATTGCGAGTGCAGCTGGATATTTAAAGAGGCTACACCCGGACACAGAGCTATGTAAGAGTTTCGAGGAGGCAAAAGTGTTTGTTGAGGCTGATCTAACAAAGGAGCTACCAGATTTCTACCGCTTCAAATCGGACCAGGGAGTCGATGCACTGGTTGAATTCAAATATCCGTGGTTGCCTCCTAGATGTTCCTCTTGCAAGAAATGGGGGCATAATCATGATACTTCCTTACTTAAAAAAAGGCTAGTAGTGGAGGAAACAGGGGATACCATTGTTGCTGAAGAGACTGCAGCTATCGACAATGTAGATAAGCAAACAGTCACGACACCCATTTCAATGACTACTGAACAGACGTCCACCTTGGAAACTATCTCGCCTCAAAAGGAAGTAGTGGAAAAGGTAGGAGACGATCAGGGACAGGACAACTACATTTCGCCAACAAAGTATGGAAGATCATCTGAGCAAAAAAGGAACGGAAAAAACACAGAGATTGCGATCTCTCCTTCACGCTACGCTTTGTTAGCTGACCCATATGAGGACGGGGTCGAAGGGGCTGAACAGTAAGAGATGGAGGTGACTGCTGGAAAGGAAAACGCAGAAGAGAAAGAAGAGGAAGTAGGACAGAGTAGTGCGAGTAACGATGTTCTGGAAGATGGGGAGATTAAGGACACAGCTCACACCGCTCAAAGGAACTCTAAGCAGGAAGTACGACCTTCTCTCCCTCGGTCTTCAAAAACTTCACATAAGTTTCTGACAGAATCTGGAAACCATTATGCGAGGGCCAAGCCGTGAGGTAGAGTTGGGAAAAGGGCTCCATCTAAAAAACATTAATCAATGTCGGGCTTCTTTTGGAATGTGCGCGGTCTTAATAAATCTTCAAAACATTCCGTGATAAGAAGTTGGGTGCGAGGCTGGTCGTTTCAGTTTGGATGTTTATTGGAGACCAAAGTGAGGGAGAGTAAAGTCCCTAGACTTATGTCCTCAATAATCGATGATTTTTCAGTTATTACTAACTATGAATTCAGTGGGTTGGGACGCATATGGATGGTGTGGAGGAATGATATTCAAATCACACCTTTTTTCAAGAGTGGGCAGATGATTACCTGCTTGATCAAGTTAAAAGGCAGAGAAGAAGAGTTTTTCTTCTCTTTCGTTTATGCTTCTAATGCTATGGAGGAACGTAGGGAGCTCAGGAGTGATATTAGGGATCACTACAACTCTTGGATAATCTTTGGTGATTTTAATGAGACACTTGATGGTGAGGAGCATTCAAGTTTCAAAAATACACTAAACATTACTACAGGTCTGAAAGATTTTCAGGAGCTAGTGCGTGATTGCTCCCTCTCGGATATGGCTTTTCACGGTCCCTTTCCTTCACAACCTTTGTAGCTCCATGACTCTTAGAACTGAGATTGGTACTGTCAATTGTGGCACAAAAGTCTGAACCTCTAGGCTGCAAGCGATATGACACCAAACTATTCACCTTGTGAAGGATCACTTCTTGCTTGTGAAAGTCTATTGAAGCGCCAACTGTACTAAGGAAAGGGGTTCCCAATAGCAAAGGCAAATCCTTCTCTTCTTCCATTTCCATCACAGTGAGATCAGTTTGGATGATGCATTCTCCAATTTTCAAGTGATAGTTCTTGAACACTCCAAGAGGAGACTTAGAAGTTGCATCTCCAAACATGATTGAAGTAGTAGGGCGCTGCAAGGCTCCAGCTATGCCTAGCTTCTCTGCCATGGAGAGAGAGATCAGATTGATGCTTGCTCCAGAATCCACTAAGGCATTGTCAATCTCAAGATGCCCAAGTGTGCAAGGGAGAGTGAATTTCCCTTGATCCTTGACCTTTGGTAGGAAGGTGGGTGAAGTAAGCAGGTTGAACTGATGAGTAGACTCTTGTAGGACCTCTGAAACTTTATCACTGTTGGCAGAACATCCTTGACCATTTGCATTTGATCAAATGCCTCACTCATGCTATCCATAGAGGCAACTCAATTCCAATCCCACTGAGATCTCTTCTGAACTTGTGAATCACTTCCTTGTGACCTTGACTAAGTAGGCGAGACGAGGAAGCGGCAACCGGTTGATAAGGATCAAGCAAAACAGGCTGTCGGACAGAAGAGGTCGGACTCGATCGAGCTAGAGTTGGACTCGATCGAGCTGCCGATCGAGCTTGTCGTGCGAGCTCAACTGGTGAAGTGTGAATGGCCACAGTAGGTGCATGCACTTCTGGTTGATCAATCTGGACTCCAGGAGCCTCAGCAGCAACAATCTCTTCATCATTCAGCAGTAAACAAAAATCTTCAATGACCCTTTCTTGATCCTCTTCTTCAACAAGTCCTTCTTGAGTGAAGATGACCTTGCACTGTTCCTTGGGGTTCTGAATAGCTTTACCAGGTAGTTGTCCTTGCTTTGTAGCAGCAGCAACAGAAGAAGCATGATTCTCCAGAGAGTAAACCCTTGTGTTGAGGTTCTCGATCTTAGAGTTTATTTCAGCTAGCTTCTTGCTTGTGTCCACTACCCCATCAGCTTGCCCTTGAAGTAGTTGCTTTAGCATTGCTTTGAGCTCATTCTCTTGTGAAGGTGCAGGCTGGGGCGGTTGGTGGGGGAAGCCTGGTGGGATATTCATTTGTTGTCCAGGGAAAGTGCCTTGTGGTCCTTGGTAATTGTTCTTTTGACCATACCCATGTTGTGGCACCTGACTCGATCGAGCTGCTTGTTGTTGAGGATATACTTGGTCCTGAGGGTTAGCAACATCAGTGTTGCGGTATGACATGGCAGGGTTGGACTTGTAGTTATAGTATCCTTTGTTGTAACCTCCTTGCCCATTGCTCATGTAGCACACCTCAGCAAATTGTGTATCCTCCCCTTCTTGGACTGGTTCCATCTCCTCAGCAGACACAAAGTTGACTTTCTTCATTGTGGACTGAGCTAGGATCAGCTTATCCAACTTCTCATTCAATGCCTTAACATCTTTTCTCAACTTTTCGTCTGACTCGATCGAGTGGTGGGTCGAGCTCCGGTTGGTGCGATCATACTCTTCTCCATAGCTTCCATTTGAGTTAGCTATGTTCTCCACAAGTTGCCAGCCATCATCTACATCCTGGTTGAGGAAGTTCCCATTGCTAGCTGTGTCTAGCATCTCCCTATACCTAGGCAAGCATCCTCTATAAAGAGTGGAGAGTAGGATTCATTGTTGAATCCATGGTGTGGGCACTGACTTGTGTAGCCTTTGAACCTCTCCCAAGCCTCTGCGAATGTCTCATTGTTTCGCTGGATGAAGCTGGATATCTCTCCTCTAAGCTTGGCTGTGCGACCGGTGGAGAAAAACTTAGCAAGAAAGGCCTTCTTGCATTCATCCCAAGTGGTGATTGTGCCATGGGGCAAGCTCTTCTCCCATTGGTGAGCTTTGTCAGCTAGAGACATAGGAAAGAGTCTCAGCTTGATGGCATCTTCAGAGACACCATTGATCTTTGTCAAATCACAAAGCCTATCAAACTCATCAAGGTGGTCAATGGGGTCTTCACTTGGCAATCCATGGAACATCTTGTTCTGGACAAGGTTGATCATTCCCAGCTTGATCTCAAAGTTGTGGTTCTGCACTGGTGGTGGAACAATCCCTTGTCTCTGTTGGTGGCGGTTTGGAGCATCTCCTTGACCAATCGGTCGAGTTTGCCTAGCTCGACCGAGTCCATTGCCCAAAGGGTTTCCATTCCCCTCTGGTACATCCATTGTATCAGCAACAAGCACCTCAGGTTCCTCTTGTACCCTCTGTGACCTCTGAACCCTCTTTCTACCCGTTGTAATGTCTAGCTCGACCAAGTCTTCAGTTGACCGACTCGATCGAGTTCGCATACACCTGCAAAAAGAGACAAAAACCCAGCAGTACAATAGAACAGGGGTGGTATAGCTTGATCGTCCAAGTGTGTTTGAAACTCAAATGCAACAAAAATATTCCCAAATCGGCAACGGCGCCAAATTGATGATAGGATTTGTGTGTGTGTGAATGATATGAAATGAGGTGGAATGCAACAGGGTATAAAGATGATATGGTATGGTGCAATCACAATCAATCAATTCCTCTTAACCATCATAGTCATTGAAGTATAAGAGGTTATCAATCCAAAATGGGAAACTTGTCACTCTATGAGAATATGAAACAACCGAAAGTCAAGCAAGCAGTTATAGATTTGAAGTAACACTAACAACCTAAAAAAATGAAAAGCAGTGCAATAAAAGTAAACAAAGCAGTGAAGGTCAGCTCGACCAAGACTCGAGTAGAGCAAAGTACCAGCTCGATCGAGTTTAGGGACGAGTTGAGACAAACAAAGCTAAAGGTGACGACTTTAACAAGATAAAGAGAGAATTAGGGTTCAAGACAGGGTTTTGCAATCAAAGGAATCTACACTTAATCAATCTAGCTCTTAAAACTCCTTGTATCAAGGCTTCTCTTGATATTGGGCTTCTCAATGCCTAGCCAACCCTTTCCCAAGGTGGAGGCTATCAACCAAGGAATGATCTCAGAAACAGGGGGTTAGCCAGTGAGAATCAAACCTTGGAGGCTATAGGATCATTGCCCAAACTAATCCATCCAACCCCTTAGACCTCTATTGTCTAGAGCAAGAGATATTGGAGCTCTTAGTGGATCTTTTCCAGCGAATGCCATCACTTTCGTGTGGGGAGTCGCCTAAGGACTTACAAGCCAGGGGTAGTGGTCATGTAGCCTTAAGATCTATCCAAAAGAGAGAGAATCTAGATTAAGACCATAAGCTAGAAGGATTAAGCATATGAAACCTCTAATCTATCCCATCTCAAACCCTAATGGGTAACTACTCACTACACATGAATGTAAACACAAGCAAATGCAATAAAAGAGACATCATAAGAAAGAGGAGATGAAATTAAACAACTTTTATTGAAATAAGCAAGTGCAAATACAAGAGAGATTATCCAGGATCTAGGATTCAAGAAGCAAGAGCTTCAAGAACACAAAGATGGGATTAGATCTCTAAAAAGTAAAAGACAATAAATTAAAAGAAACTAAAACAAAATAATCTAAAGCTTGGTGGTTTTTTCGTGGCTTAGAGCCTTTAAATACAAAGAGGATTAGGTTTAGGGTCAAAGGAAAGTCAAGGGGGAAGCAACATTTTTCGGGTTTGACTTTGACTTCTCAGCTCGATCGAGTTGAAGCTTGGCCGGTCGAGTTGAGGAACTCGACCGGTTGGTCGAGTGGACGGTCGAGCTGGTCTTCAAGATGGCTTCTCCCTTCTTCCTTTGCGTATCCAGTTGAGCTGCTTCCATGTGCCAAGTCCCTCCATGCTCCTTTGTCCCATATGCTCCAGAATGCTCCAAAAGACCTATTTCAAAGGACCAAACATGCATATGTATGCAAATGCAACCTAAAACTAACATGAATGCATAAGAAGAGAAAAGGAACAAGATATGATGCAAATGGAAGCTAAAACTATGCAAAAGATGCATAAAAGATGTGCTAAAACTATGTAAAATGCAAGTACATCAACACCCCCAAACTTGAACTTTGCTTGCCCTCAAGCAAACAAATAGAACAAGAAAGAGATGAGGTTTGAAAATAGCTGATTCAACACTTAAAAACATGTCCTCAAAAGCGATTTGCTAAATGTCCAACTTAGAGATTCTAGAATGCAACAAGGTGAGAGATATTCATTAAGATTTAACCATGCTTATCAACATCAATCCCACTTCACAGTCACTCAAACAATGCATTCAAATCAGCAAATCCCTTTAACATTCATTAAGCAAAAACAGTGAACCAAAAACATGCAAGATCAATCAACTCATTTGGTTTCAAGGGTTTATGGGTTAAGAGACAAAGAGGGTCTCTTTTGTATGGTGGTTTAGTAACAGGGATCTCTCAAGAAAGTGGCTTTGCTTTGGCAGAAGGCTAAGTGTTAGAACCAAAGATGATGCAAGAACAGCAGCTCGAGCCGCCTAATCCTAACTCGATCGAGTTCAACACTTAGAGCTTTTTAGAACAAAATCCTAACTACCCTTTTTGGCATTTCGCCTTTGAAACTGAGGAGCTTTGCTCACTTTTCTTTTAAGAACTTCCTAGGGAGAGGCTTCTTGAGGTAACATCTAGCGGTTTGGGATTTTCTAAACACTTAGGGAACTTTTCTTTCCTTTTTGACACTTGAGGCTTTGCCTTCTTTTCATTCTACTTAGAACCCTTTTTACTTTCCTTTTTTAACTTCCCAAACCTTTACTAGACCCTTTTAAACACTGCCAACTCCCTGGACTTAACCAAACTCTTTTTCCTTTGGGTTTTTCCCAACTTTTACCACTTTTCTGGTTTTTACACCCAACTCGATCGAGCTCGAGTTGGCACCCCCAAACTTAGCCTGAAAACAATCCCAAGAGAACTAGACAACTAGAACTACTGCCCCTGCCGGTTTAAACACAACACCTTATGCTAAGCAAAGCCAAGAAAGGTTCTCACATTCGCACAAGAGATAATAATGGGGTTTGAAATGAAAAGGCTTAGGTTTAAGGTGTGGTAACTGTCTCAAAGATAGAGATCAGCTATCTGGACAAGCAAAAGGGATATGAAAATGGTAAAGAATGTCCAGATATGTATGTGGTAGCCATGAGTTGAAATCAAATGCAAGCATTGGTAATTAAAGATCAAGTTATGGTTCAAATAGATAGGGAAATGCATCAAATCACAGCAATGGTTGAATGAGATGTGCATGCAGTGATATGATCAAGATAAACATGGTTCTTGCTGCTCAATCAATCTCACCCTAATGCACAAAAGAATCTAAAAACAGGGCACTCAAGAAATCGCAAAAGATGGACAAGTTTTCAAAGTCAAATCAACAATGCAAGTGAAAAATGCAATCCTAAACAAGTCTAACAAATATGAATGCAAAAAGATGAAAATATTTTTGGATTTTTTGAAAATTTTATGATTTTTTTGGTTTTTCTATGCAAAAGATAAATGAAAAACTAAGAACAAAGAAAACAAGGTTAAATCATCTCTTGAACCCTCCCCCAAACTTAAATCACACAGTCCCTTGTGTGAGAAAAATTTAGTGAAAGATTCAAGAGGGCAAAACCAAGAAAAAACAAGAACAAATGCAAGAAAATATGAAATGGTATATACAAGGGTTGGTGTTTGGATACCTCAGTGTCCCCCAAAGAACTGGGAGACTAGGTCGTGGTCTGGAGATGGGAGACGGCCATCAGGAGCACTCCATGCAACTGGGGTTGCCTCTTGCGGCTCACTCGATCGAGCTTGTGGCTCCTCTTCCTCCTCTTCTTCATCGTTGAAATGTGTGTGGCTTCCTTGGCCTTGGTGGAGCATTGGTAGCTCGTACTGTCCATAGGGGTTCCATCTACTCCGGGGAGGCTCCTGGTAAGGCATGGGATCGTATTCAAATCCGGATCCTCGAACTGGGGCTCCTCCAGGTCAACTCGACCGTCAGCTCGATCGAGTTGAGTTTCCTCTGTTTGGACTCGATCGAGTCCGGTGGTCGAGCTGGAGCGTCTGGCCTTGGAAGTCTTCCTCCTTCTCTGCGTGTTGTCTTCTCCTTCCCTTGGCTCGAAAGAAGAGGCTCTGTGAGGCTCTTGGGCAGGGAGCCTCCTTGGAGTGGTGAGGAGTGATCTACTCCTAGGGAAAGTGGGGCCTTGGACTTCTTCTTGCTTGAAGAACCAGAAACCTTCTTCTCCAAACTTTTGATCTTGCTCACCATCTTGTCCATGGACTTTTGCATCTTCTCAATGGCTTTCCCTTGCCATTTGTTGAACTTTTGGAGAAGTCCAATCCTCTTGTGGGCAGCCACAACAGAGGGGTTCATCCTTGGAGCCTCATACTCCTCAAAGTAATAGCACTCAGGCTCACCCAAATCCTCAACTCAGCGCTCTCGATCCTGCTGATCTCAGCTCGATCCTCAGCTGAACTCAGCTCGATCCTCAGCTCGATCGAGCTCGATCTCTTCTTCTTGCAAATCCGCTTCATGCCCAACCAAATGTGTACACAGGGGGTCTGAAGTCAATGTTTGTACCTCCTAGGACCGTGGTGAGCTCAGGGTTGGGCAGAAGAAGCTTGGAGGAGTCCAGCCGTGGGGTGGTGAACTTGAATTGGAATCTCCCATCCAACTCCTTGTGCTCAATGAGAGGTTGGTCTTGCAAAACTTGATGTCCATCCAAGCTGTGACCTTGTAGGCTTGGAGCTGCTCAAGGAGAGGCATGAGATTCCCTGTGTGTGCCCTGTCTCCTCTGATCTTCTTCCCATCCTTGTGCGTGAGATGATGGGCTTGATTCCCATGTAAGGAGCTTCACTTCTCCCTCATTGATTGTCCAGTGGCTTTCCTTGCAAAGAAGGTGTTGCAAGAGCCTTGTGGACATATCTAAGCACAGGACTCTGATCTGGCAGCCTTGGACCTTGAGGAAGAGTACCCCTCTTCAGCTATTGTAGCCCATACTCTTTGGAGTTCTTTTCCTTGATGTTCCATGGTTACCTTCTCCATAGTGAACCCAAACAGTATCTCAAGCTGCCTAAAGGTCACCATCTTCTTCTCTCCCTTTGCAAGAAAGTTATGTACCCCCAGCCTTGGTCCAACTCAGCTCGATCGAGCTCATCAAACTCGTGATGCTTCATCGACGCCAAAAACTCACAAGTCAAGCTCCTTGTAAGACTCCATGCGGTGAGAGAAGAACTTCCCCAATTGCATGTTCTTGAGCACCAACTCCACATCCTCAAAGATCCAAGATCTCTCATGGTGTCATCATGTGGGTACTTGGTCTCCACAAAGTCCATGGAGAAGAGAGCATTGTAGTGCTCTTGGTACATGGGGAGCTCATCCTCCTCTTGCTCTTCCTCAGCCTCTTCCATTGGCTCATCTTGGTTCCCCTCTTGTCATCTTCATCAACCAATTGGTTCACCTCTTCTCCTTCCTCTTCACTCTCAGTCCTCACTCCTTCCTCATTTGGAGAGCCATTTCCTCCTCTTGAACAAGGTTCACTCCAATCTCAAACTCTCCTTGCTCACTCTCACTACTATAGGGTCATTCCTCTTCTTGGTTCTCCTTTCTTCCCTCAATCTCTCACTCTCAGACTGTTCCTCAGAGTAGACATATCCTCTGCATCAGATTCTTCCATCCTCTGATCCATCTCTCCAAATCGGCTTGCATCTTAAGCCTTTCTCTCTTGCATTGCTTGACTCACCCTCAACCATTCTCCTCTGTGAAGCGGCTTCCCTCACTGTTTGTCATCCTTGTTACTCTGTTTCTTCACTAAAGTACCTGAAATGCATCAAAGATTACAAAGAATTAGAGTTGTAATGATCGGTTTGGTCAACTCGACACTCAGCTCGATCGAGTCAAAAAACTCGAGTGACAAACTCGATCGAGTTGGGTGAAAACAGAGTATAACCAAACCTAATTCAAGATTAAGAGCTGGAAAGATGCTAATCAATCAAATTGAACCAAGAACAACTAGTAAATGGAACAATGAGCAACTATAGAGAAGTACTAAGCATCTTAACCAAACCAAACTCAAATTCAATTTCAAGCACATGCAACAAGTTTAAAGGCAAAACAGAGGTGAGGTGAAACAAATTAACAAGATTATACAGCAGAGGCGAAATATGAGGGCAATTACTCAAGAACAAGTCCACAAGGGACACATGCAATCAAAAATCAAAGGAAACAAGCAATAGTTGAAATCGAGATGGATGAATGAAGGGTTTTAGGGTTCATACCTTGTTGAATGAGGAATTGAAGAGCAGTAAACAAAACCCAAGCAAAACAAGAGATGAACAAGGAAATCGCAAAAACTTAAGAGAAAAGATTGAAATTCGAAATTGAGTGTGGGAGAGAGAAGTGTGGATTCGATCGAGTTATGGGGAAGAGGGAGTGTTTGAGATGTGTGGTTGAGATTAAAAGATGAAATAAAGAGGGAACAAGAAACTAGGGATTCTCTGATCAAATTAGGGTAGTGGGGGACCAAAATCAGCTTGTGGGACCCACTCCCTTGACCAAGAAAACGGTTATGAATTTGAAATTCAAAAACTTACCTCGGTCGAGTTGTGTAGCTCGATCGAGTTGCCCTGGTTTCTAGCTCGATCGAGCTGTCGGTCGAGCTGGCTCCTTGACACCTAAACTTAACTTATTCAAAGGTTAAAACATAAAGATAGATAGAAATTGCATAAATAGAGTATGTACAAGGATAAACATGGGACTTCCTCCCAAGTGAGCTTGTTTAAGGTCCCATAGCTTGACCTTTACCTTCTTAGGCATTGGTTGAGCTAGTCCCACCATCAAGGGTGATAGTGAGGACTTGAGACAGAAGCTCCTTTAGCTTGGTTGGGTCCCTGGACTGTTCTGAAGTCACCAAGGCCTTGGCTCTAGAGAATGGCCTTGATCTCCCCTTGTACCTTATCTTGTACTCAATCTTCCCATTTTCAAACTTGGTGGGGAACAAAGTCATTGTGAGCTGAGATGGCTTGACTGAAGGGGCCTGAGCTGGTGGATCCTTTCTTTTATCTCCTGGTCTTGCCTTAGAGGCTGCATCCTCCCCTTCTTTAGAGCCCTTCCTAGTGGCTCATCAAACAAAGCTTGAAGGCTCTCTTCATCAAGCACACAAGGGGCTTGAACAAGTCTCTCAGCTCTTGGCCTATCAGATCGTGGTTTCTCAACTCTAGCCCTCTCAAGACGTGGCTTCTCAATCCTTGGTCCTCTCTCATCCTTATCCTTCCCAACTCTTGGTTCCTTGTCAACCCTTTCCTTCACAACCTTTGTAGCTCCATGACTCTTAGAACTGAGATTGGTACTGTCAATTGTGGCACAAAAGTCTGAACCTCTAGGCTGCAAGCGATATGACACCAAACTATTCACCTTGTGAAGGATCACTTCTTGCTTGTGAAAGTCTATTGAAGCGCCAACTGTACTAAGGAAAGGGGTTCCCAATAGAGGCAAATCCTTCTCTTCTTCCATTTCCATCACAGTGAGATCAGTTTGGATGATGCATTCTCCAATTTTCAAGTGATAGTTCTTGAACACTCCAAGAGGAGACTTAGAAGTTGCATCTCCAAACATGATTGAAGTAGTAGGGCGCTGCAAGGCTCCAGCTATGCCTAGCTTCTCTGCCATGGAGAGAGAGATCAGATTGATGCTTGCTCCAGAATCCACTAAGGCATTGTCAATCTCAAGATGCCCAAGTGTGCAAGGGAGAGTGAATTTCCCTTGATCCTTGACCTTTGGTAGGAAGGTGGGTGAAGTAAGCAGGTTGAACTGATGAGTAGACTCTTGTAGGACCTCTGAAACTTTATCACTGTTGGCTAGAACATCCTTGACCATTTGCATTTGATCAAATGCCTCACTCATGCTATCCATAGGAGGCAACTCAATTCCAATCCCACTGAGATCTCTTCTGAACTTGTGAATCACTTCCTTGTGACCTTGACTAAGTAGGCGAGACGAGGAAGCGGCAACCGGTTGATAAGGATCAAGCAAAACAGGCTGTCGGACAGAAGAGGTCGGACTCGATCGAGCTAGAGTTGGACTCGATCGAGCTGCCGATCGAGCTTGTCGTGCGAGCTCAACTGGTGAAGTGTGAATGGCCACAGTAGGTGCATGCACTTCTGGTTGATCAATCTGGACTCCAGGAGCCTCAGCAGCAACAATCTCTTCATCATTCAGCAGTAAACAAAAATCTTCAATGACCCTTTCTTGATCCTCTTCTTCAACAAGTCCTTCTTGAGTGAAGATGACCTTGCACTGTTCCTTGGGGTTCTGAATAGCTTTACCAGGTAGTTGTCCTTGCTTTGTAGCAGCAGCAACAGAAGAAGCATGATTCTCCAGAGAGTAAACCCTTGTGTTGAGGTTCTCGATCTTAGAGTTTATTTCAGCTAGCTTCTTGCTTGTGTCCACTACCCCATCAGCTTGCCCTTGAAGTAGTTGCTTTAGCATTGCCTTGAGCTCATTCTCTTGTGAAGGTGCAGGCTGGGGCGGTTGGTGGGGGAAGCCTGGTGGGATATTCATTTGTTGTCCAGGGAAAGTGCCTTGTGGTCCTTGGTAATTGTTCTTTTGACCATACCCATGTTGTGGCACCTGACTCGATCGAGCTGCTTGTTGTTGAGGATATACTTGGTCCTGAGGGTTAGCAACATCAGTGTTGCGGTATGACATGGCAGGGTTGGACTTGTAATTATAGTATCCTTTGTTGTAACCTCCTTGCCCATTGCTCATGTAGCACACCTCAGCAAATTGTGTATCCTCCCCTTCTTGGACTGGTTCCATCTCCTCAGCAGACACAAAGTTGACTTTCTTCATTGTGGACTGAGCTAGGATCAGCTTATCCAACTTCTCATTCAATGCCTTAACATCTTTTCTCAACTTTTCGTCTGACTCGATCGAGTGGTGGGTCGAGCTCCGGTTGGTGCGATCATACTCTTCTCCATAGCTTCCATTTGAGTTAGCTATGTTCTCCACAAGTTGCCAGCCATCATCTACATCCTGGTTGAGGAAGTTCCCATTGCTAGCTGTGTCTAGCATCTCCCTATACCTAGGCAAGCATCCTCTATAAAGAGTGGAGAGTAGTGATTCATTGTTGAATCCATGGTGTGGGCACTGACTTGTGTAGCCTTTGAACCTCTCCCAAGCCTCTGCGAATGTCTCATTGTTTCGCTGGATGAAGCTGGATATCTCTCCTCTAAGCTTGGCTGTGCGACCGGTGGAGAAAAACTTAGCAAGAAAGGCCTTCTTGCATTCATCCCAAGTGGTGATTGTGCCATGGGGCAAGCTCTTCTCCCATTGGTGAGCTTTGTCAGCTAGAGACATAGGAAAGAGTCTCAGCTTGATGGCATCTTCAGAGACACCATTGATCTTTGTCAAATCACAAAGCCTATCAAACTCATCAAGGTGGTCAATGGGGTCTTCACTTGGCAATCCATGGAACATCTTGTTCTGGACAAGGTTGATCATTCCCAGCTTGATCTCAAAGTTGTGGTTCTGCACTGGTGGTGGAACAATCCCTTGTCTCTGTTGGTGGCGGTTTGGAGCATCTCCTTGACCAATCGGTCGAGTTTGCCTAGCTCGACCGAGTCCATTGCCCAAAGGGTTTCCATTCCCCTCTGGTACATCCATTGTATCAGCAACAAGCACCTCAGGTTCCTCTTGTACCCTCTGTGACCTCTGAACCCTCTTTCTACCCGTTGTAATGTCTAGCTCGACCAAGTCTTCAGTTAGACCGACTCGATCGAGTTCGCATACACCTGCAAAAAGAGACAAAAACCCAGCAGTACAATAGAACAGGGGTGGTATAGCTTGATCGTCCAAGTGTGTTTGAAACTCAAATGCAACAAAAATATTCCCAAATCGGCAACGGCGCCAAATTGATGATAGGATTTTGTGTGTGTGAATGATATGAAATGAGGTGGAATGCAAACAGGGGTGAATAAAGATGATATGGTATGGTGCAAATGGATGCTAAAACTATGCAAAAGATGCATAAAAGATGTGCTAAAATTATGTAAAATGCAAGTACATCAAGAAGATGGGAAACTTGTCAAAGAAAACAAAGGAGGCTTATGCGGAGCTGTGTCTGGCCCAAGAAACGTGTCTATCTCATCCCTCCACTCAAGCTATGGAGCCGGAAAATGTAGCTCTAAGAGGATGGGAACATGTCTCAATGCTTGAAGAAAAATATTTGAAACAAAAGTCTAAGCTGCATTGGCTCAAGGTAGGAGATCAGAATAACAAATATTTTCATAAGGGGGTCGAAGAGAGGCAAGCTCAAAAAATGATAAAAGAAGTAAACTGTCGAGATGGTCATATTGCTACAAGTGGAGATGACATCAAGGAGGAGGCTGAGGGATTCTTCAGGGATTTTGTTCAGTTCAAGCCGACAGACTATGAAGGGATTTCTATCGACAGACTTATGGAGATTTTCCCTCGATATAGGGATGAGGATCATGCTATGCTCGTGCGTGAGGTCACAGACGAAGAGATTAAGGGAGTTATATACGCTATGCCTTCAGATAAATCCCCTGGACCTGATGGCTACACTGTTGAATTTTTCAAGAAGGCATGGTCTATATAGTAGGTGCAGAGTTCACAACTGCAGTCAAATCGTTCTTTGTCAAAGGTTTCCTCCCAAAAGGTGTCAACACAACAATTCTTGCTCTCATTCCTAAAACACCAGACGCTAAGGAGATGAAAGACTATAGACCAATCTCTTGCTGCAATGTGTTATACAAAGTAATCTCGAAGATCATCGCAAATAGGTTGAAGAAAATCCTCCCGGATCTTATTTCTCTGAATCAATCGGCCTTTATCAAAGACAGATTACTAGTGGAGAATCTGCTACTAGCTACTGAGTTGGTTAAGGACTATCATAAACACTCCATCTCTTCTCGATGCGCGATAAATATTGATATTTCAAAGGCTTTTGATTCTGTTCAATGGTCTTTCTTGCTCAACACGCTATCCGCGATGAACCTCCCGGCAACGTTCATTCACTGGATTTCTCTATGCATCACCACTGCCACCTTCTCGGTCCAAGTCAATGGAGAATTAGCGGGTTTCTTCAGAAGTGCAAGAGGCCTACGACAGGGACGTTCTCTCTCACCTTACCTCTTTATCCTCAGTATGAATGTTTTGTCCAAAATTCTTGATAAGGCGGCAAGCGATCGAGTTATTGGCTACCATCCTCGGTGTCAAAATGTCGGACTAACTCATTTGAGTTTTGCAGATGATATTATGGTGTTAACAGATGGGAAAATAAGATCGGTGGATGGAATCATCAAGGTCTTCGATGACTTTGCAAAAATGTTGGGACTCAAAATCAGCCTTGAGAAGTCGACTATTTTTTTGGCGGGTGTATCGAATCAAATAAAGGAGGATATGGCGCTGTGTTTTCCTTTCACCGTGGGGCAACTGCCAGCTCACTACCTTGGTCTGCCTCTGCTTACTAAGTGCATGTCATCGCATGACTATCTCCCTCTGATCGAAAGAATCAGGAAGAAGATCACCTCCTGGACAGCAAGATTTCTCTCTTTTGCAGGTCGGCTGCAACATATCGCCTCTGTGATTCAAAGCTTAACAAACTTCTGGCTCTCTGCATTTCGTTTGCCATCAGAATGCTTGAAGGAGATCGAGCGCCTCTGCTCTGCTTTTCTCTGGTCTGGCCCGACTCTAAGCTCTCACAAAGCTAAGATCTCGTGGTCGGAGGTGTGCAAACCAAAGCGGGAAGGAGGACTTGGACTTCGACCGCTAAAGGAAGTCAATGCTGTTAGCTGTCTTAAAATGGCTTGGAGGATCCTCTCATCAACTAACTCTTTGTGGGTGAACTGGATTAAAGCTTATTTAATACGGCAAGACTCATTTTGGACAGTACAGTTATCTACTAATATGGGGTCTTGGATGTGGAGAAAGATATTGAAGTACAGGGATAAGGCAAAAAGGTTTTTCAAGATGGATGTACGTAACGGAGAACAAACATCTTTTTGGTTCGATGCATGGTCCTCATTGGGTCCGCTGATTGAAGTGACAAGGGAAAGATGGTTTATTGATTTGGGTATATCACGCCAGGCAACCGTGGCTCAGGCTCTAGCAATGAGAATGACAAGAAGACGGCACCATCGTTCAGACATTTTAAACTAAATCGAAACGCTACTCAATGCATACCGAGCTTGTGGTATTGTGACTACGGATGATCTTCCTCTATGGAAGAGGGATGGGGATGAGTACAAGTCAACGTTTAACTCCAAAAACACATGGAAGCTTATTAGGGAGACCGGGACTGAGAACAGTTGGCATCGTGGAATCTGGTTCCGCCACTCCACGCCGAAGTACGCTTTCTGTGTTTGGCTTGCTATCCATAATAGGCTGTCTACTTTGGATCGTATGCAGATGTGGAATACTGGGATTATTACAACATGCACTCTCTGCCACACGCCATCGGAGACACGAGACCATCTCTTCTTCTCCTGTCGCTACTCGGCAGAAGTTTGGGGTGCCTTAAGCAAAGGCTTGCTCAAAAGAAGGTACACAACCGACTGGACAAGTCTAATCTCTTTCATCTTAGACACAGACCAAGATAGTATAACCTTACTGCTTGCTCGATACGTTTTCCAAACAACCACTCATGGTATATGGGGAGAAAGAAAATTCCCGACGCCATGGCGAGATCCCAACCCTTCCGAACCAGCTGATCCTTCTTATAGACAAGAACGTTCGAAACCGTATTCAAACCATCAGAAACATGGGTGACTCCAAGTACGAAGAAGCTCTCCAAATTTGGTTTGAAGCTCGCTCAACCTAGTCCATCTTCTTTGTATCTCCTTAAAAGGAATTATCAAAACTCTCAAACTCTAGACACACATGTTGTACAAAAGTTTGGTTTTTGAATAAAGTTTACATTACATTCAAAAAAAAAAAAAAAGAACAACACAGGGAGATGCTTCTTTAGGTAACATCTAACGGTTTGAGATTATTAAACACTTAGGGAACTTTTTTTCTTTTCTTCTTCGACACTTGAGGCTTTGCCTTCTTTTCTTTACTACTTAGAATCCCTTTTTTCTTTCTCTTTACACTTCCCAAACCTTTACTAGACCCTTTGAAACACAGACCAACTCCCTGGACTTAACCAAAACTCTTTTCTTTTCTTTTCCCAACTTTACCACTTTTCTGGAATTTAATAATTGAACTCGCCCAAGTCCAACTGGACACCCCCAAACTTAACCTGAAAACACCCCAAGAAGAACTAGACAACTAGAACTCCTGCTCTTGGCGATTTAAACCCAACACCTTATACCAAGCATGATCAAGAATAAGGCCTCACAATTCGAACAAGAGATGAATAGGGGGGGGTGTTTGAATGAAATAGGCTGAGATTTAGGGTGTGGTAACTGTCTCAAAAATGGAGAGAACTATTTGGACAAACAAGAGGGATAAGCAAGGGAAAAGAATGTCCAGATATGTATATGGTATCCATGAGTTGAAATCAAATGCAAACAATGGCAATTAAAGATCAAGTTCAAGGTTCAAATAGATAGGGAAATGCATCAAATCGCAGCAATGGTTGAATGAGATGTGCATGCACTGACTAATCAAGCTAAACATGGTGCTATCTTGCTCATTAAATCTCACCCTAGTGCACAAGAAAATCAAGAAACAAGGCACTCAACAAATCGCATAAGAAGGCATGTTCACAAGGTTAAATAAACAATGCACAACAAAACAGAGTTAAATGATGCAATCCTAAGACGATTCTTCAAATATGAATGCAACTACATGAAATATTTTTGGATATTCGAAAAAATTTCAATTTTTAGGGGTTTTCTATGCAATAAGATGTTGCATGAAAAATTGAACTAAGAACCAGAATAAACAGAGTTAAACTACTCTTAAACCCTCCCCCCAAACTTAAATCACACAGTCTCTTGTGTGATAAAAGCTCAAAGAAAGATTCAAGAGTTAAAAACAAAGAGAAAATGCATAAAATGAAATGGTATGTACAAGGGAAGAACTGTTTGATACCTTAGTGCTCCCCAAAGAACTGGGAAGCAAGGTCATGAGATGGAGAAGGCAGACGCTTGGGCTCGGTCGAGTTCTTTCTCTTTCACCTTGGGCTCGATCGAGGCTGCGGGTCTAGTTAGCGTAACTTCTCCTTAAAACCATTTTCCTGAAAGACTTAAATAAAAGTGATATGTACAGGATAAACATGGGAATTCCTCCCAAGTGAGCTTGTTTAAGGTCCCATAGCTTGACCTTTACCCTTTTAGGAAGGCGTTGGATCATGAAGAGGAGTTTTGATGTTCTCTTCAACATGGGTTGCACCTAGGTAAGGCTTGCACCTATGACCATTCACTGTGAACTCCTTCCCATCCTTGTTGGTCAGAGTGATGAAGCCATATGATAGAACTTCATGGATTTTGAATGGTCCTGACCATTTTTGACCTCAACTTTCCAGGGAACAACCTCAGCTTTGAATTAAACAATAGCACACTATCTCCAGCTTTGAAGTGCTTAAGGCGGATCAGCTTGTCATGGGATGCTTTAGTTATTTCCTTATAGATCTTGGAGTTCTCATAAGCATATAATCTGATTTCCTCCAGCTCGTGCAAGTCCATAACTCTCTTCTCTTGTGCCGTTTTCAGATCAAAGTTGAGCATTTTGACTGCCCATAGTGCCTTATACTCAATCTCTACGGGTAAGTGGCAAGCTTTTCCATACAGTAGGTTGAAAGCTGACCTTACTATTTTTGTAGGCTGTTCTGTTAGCCCAAAGTGCATCATCGAGCCTGGTCGCCCAATCCTTCCTTGTGAAGCTCACTGTTTTCTCAAGGATGGCCTTTATCTGTCTGTTGGAAACCTCAACTTGTCCAGTGGTCTGGGGGTGATAGGGCGTAGCCACCTTGTGTTTAACTCCATAATTCTTCATCAACTTCTCAAACACCTTGTTGATGCAGTGGGAGCCGCCATCTGAGATCACAACTGTAGTTATTCCATATCTTGGGAAGATGATGGTCTTTAAAAGCTTGATAACAACCTTAGCATCACAAGCAGGGCAGGCAATAGCTTCTATCCACTTAGACACATAGTCTACAGCCACGAGAATGTAGTTGTTCGCATGTGAGGCAGAATTAAAAGGACCCATGAAGTATATCCCCCATACATCGAAAATCTCAACATCTAGAATGAGATTCTGTGGCATCTTGTTCCTATTGGTAATCCCTCCTTTCCTTTGGCATGGATCACATCTAGAAATGAAACTTGTTGCGTCCTTAAACAGGGTAGGCTACCATAGTCCAGCTTGCAAGACCTTAGTTGTTGTTTTGAATGTGGCAAAGTGACCTCCATAAGCAGACCCATGGCAATGTTCTAAAACACTTTATACATCTTCTTCAGCTATGCATCTTCTGTAGATGCTATCTGGTCCTCTCTTGTACAAATAAGGTTCATCCCAATAGTAGTGCCTAGCATCCATAAAGAACTTCTTCCTTTTGTAGGCATCAAAATCATTGGGAACCTCTCCAGCCACCATGTAATTCACTATATCAGCATACCAAGGAAAATTCTCATCTCGCAGAGCCTTGACCTCATCGAGTCTGGTTTTCTCCTCCAAACCTTCCTTCAAAGTCCTGATAGCCATTAGGTGTTCTTCAGGCATAGAATCATAGATAGGGACAATGTCTTCAATTCGCATCCTGGACAAATGATCAGCCACCCCATTCTCTATTCCCTTCTTATCCACAATCTCCAGATCAAACTCTTGGAGCAGCAAGATCCATCTAAGCAGCCTGGATTTTGTATCCTTCTTAGCATAGATGTGCCTAATAGCAGCATGATCTGTGTACACAATCACTTTAGATCCAACTAGGTAGCTGATGATAGAATTTGTGTGTGGGTGTGAAAGATATGATATGAAATGTGGTGGAATGCAACAGTGGTATATAAGATGAGGTGGTGGTAAAACACAATCACAATCAGCAATTCCCCTTAACCATCATAGTCATTAAGTATAAGGGTTATCAATCCATAAGGGTGAGATGTTGCTCTATGAGAATATGCAAACACAAGAAAGTCAAGCAAATGATTAAATGAGGGATGTAACAACTAAACAACCTAATGAAACAGTAAAGCAAGCGGCTCGACCAAGACTCGAGCGAGTAGAACAGAGTACCAAGCTCGATCGAGTTGAGGGTCGAGTTGGTAAAAACAGAGGAAAGCAATGAAAAGCAATAAAGGTGCAAACTTTAAGATGCTAATGCGAGAATTAGGGTTAAAGACAGCCACTATACTTAATCAGTTGCTCTTAAACAACTTGTATCAAGGCTATCTCTTGATATTGAGCTTCTCAATGCCTAGCTAACCCTTTCCCAAGGTGAAAGCTATCAACCAAGACTTGATCTCAGAAACAGGGGGTTAGCCAGTGAGAATCAAGCCTTGGAGGCCATAGGATCATTGCTCAAACTAATCCATCCAACCCCTATGAACTCCATTTCGAGAGCAAGAGTTATTGGAGCTCTTAGTGGACCTTTTCCAACGATTTCCATCACTTCCATGTGGAGAATCGCCTATGGACATACAAGCCAGGGATAGTGGTCATGTAGCCTTAAGGTTTGTCCAAAAGAGAGAGATTTCTAGATTAAGAACATAAGCAAGAAGGATTAAGCATAAAAACCTCTAACTATCCCATCTTAAACCCTAAAGGGAAACTACTCACTACACATGAATGTAAAACAACCAAATGCAATGAAATAAACATCAAAAGATAGAGGAGATAAAGATAAACAACTTTTATTGAAATAGCAAAGTGCAAATACACAATAACAAAGCCTAGATCTAGGGTTCTATGAGCAAGAGCTCAAGAACACAAAGAGAGGCTAAAAAGTAAAAAAGAAATGCAAATACAAGATTAAATAAAAGTTGAGCAAAAGCTATGTTTAATTCGTGGCTCAATGCCATTTATAGTAAAGCAAACTAGGTTTAGGGTCAAAGGGGAGTCAAAGGGAAGCAACATTTTTCGGGTTTGACTTTGACTCCTGGAAAAGCAGCTCGATCGAGTTGGAAACTGGCCGGTCGAGCTGGTGGGTCGAGTCCAACCAAATCGTCGTATCTTCTGAACCGCTGGTCCGAATGACATGAAACCACCTCCAGACGAAAGCTAACTCAATTATCCACAACTTCCAAGAAGAAGTCAGAGGCTGAATCGGAGTGAAACCCTTCATTTGATACGATACTTCGGACGCATCTCACTAGCTCGACCGAGTGCGGGTCCGTACATGGGGCAGACAGAGTCTTTCCTTCCTCAACTAGTCTCCAGTGATAGGCAATGTTCCAATTAGCTCCAAATGACCTGATTAAGACATCAAACGTGCATATGTATGCAAATGCAAGCCTAAAACTACTATGTATGCAAAAGAAGAGAAAAGGAACAAGATATGATGCTAATGGATGCTAAAACTATGCAAAAGATGCATAAAAGATGTACTAAAACTATGTAAAATGCAAGTACATCAACACCCCCAAACTTGACCTTTGCTTGCCCTCAAGCAAACAAATAGAACAAGAAAGAGATGAGGTTTGAAAACAAGTTGATTCAACCTTAAAAACATGTCCTCAAAAGCGATTTGCTAAATGTCCAACTTAGAGATTCTAGAATGCAACAAGGTGAGAGATATTCATTAAGATTTAACCATGCTTATCAACATCAATCCCACTTCACAGTCACTCAAACAATGCATTCAAATCAGCAAATCCCTTTAACATTCATTAAGCAAAAACAGTGAACCAAAAACATGCAAGATCAATCAACTCATTTGGTTTCAAGGGTTTATGGGTTAAGAGACAAAGAGGGTCTCTTTTGTATGGTGGTTTAGTAACAGGGATCTCTCAAGAAAGTGGCTTTGCTTTGGCAGAAGGCTAAGTGTTAGAACCAAAGATGATGCAAGAACAGCAGCTCGAGCCGCCTAATCCTAACTCGATCGAGTTCAACACTTAGAGCTTTTTAGAACAAAATCCTAACTACCCTTTTTGGCATTTCGCCTTTGAAACTGAGGAGCTTTGCTCACTTTTCTTTTAAGAACTTCCTAGGGAGAGGCTTCTTGAGGTAACATCTAGCGGTTTGGGATTTTCTAAACACTTAGGGAACTTTTCTTTCTTTTTGACACTTGAGGCTTTGCCTTCTTTTCATTCTACTTAGAACCCTTTTTACTTTCCTTTTTTAACTTCCCAAACCTTTACTAGACCCTTTTTAAACTGCCAACTCCCTGGACTTAACTAAACTCTTTTTCCTTTGGATTTTCCCAACTTTTACCACTTTTCTGGTTTTTACACCCAACTCGATCGAGCTCGAGTTGGCACCCCCAAACTTAGCCTGAAAACAATCCCAAGAGAACTAGACAACTAGAACTACTGCCCCTGCCGGTTTAAACACAACACCTTATGCTAAGCAAAGCCAAGAAAGGTTCTCACATTCGCACAAGAGATAATATGGGGTTTGAAATGAAAAAGGCTTAGGTTTAAGGTGTGGTAACTGTCTCAAAGATGGAGATCAGCTATCTGGACAAGCAAAGGGATATGAAAAGGTAAAGAATGTCCAGATATGTATGTGGTAGCCATGAGTTGAAATCAAATGCAAGCATTGGTAATTAAAGATCAAGTTATGGTTCAAATAGATAGGGAAATGCATCAAATCACAGCAATGGTTGAATGAGATGTGCATGCAGTGATATGATCAAGATAAACATGGTTCTTGCTGCTCAATCAATCTCACCCTAATGCACAAAAGAATCTAAAAACAGGGCACTCAAGAAATCGCAAAAGATGGACAAGTTTTCAAAGTCAAATCAACAATGCAAGTGAAAAATGCAATCCTAAACAAGTCTAGCAAATATGAATGCAAAAAGATGAAAATATTTTTGGATTTTTTGAAAATTTTATGATTTTTTTGGTTTTTCTATGCAAAAGATGAATGAAAAACTAAGAACAAAGAAAACAAGGTTAAATCATCTCTTGAACCCTCCCCCAAACTTAAATCACACAGTCCCTTGTGTGAGAAAAATTTAGTGAAAGATTCAAGAGGGCAAAACCAAGAAAAAACAAGAACAAATGCAAGAAAATATGAAATGGTATATACAAGGGTTGGTGTTTGGATACCTCAGTGTCCCCCAAAGAACTGGGAGACTAGGTCGTGGTCTGGAGATGGTAGACGGCCATCAGGAGCACTCCATGCAACTGGGGTTGCCTCTTGCGGCTCACTCGATCGAGCTTGTGGCTCCTCTTCCTCCTCTTCTTCATCGTTGAAATGTGTGTGGCTCCTTGGCCTTGGTGGAGCTGTGCTTGCTCGAAGCTGTTGTAGGGGTTCCATTACTCTGGGGAAGTCCTGGTACTGGTTGGATCGTACTCAAATCCGGATCTCAAACTGGGGCTCCTCCAGGTCAGCTCGACCGTCAGCTCGATCGAGTTGAGTTTCCTCTGTTTGGACTCGATCGAGTCCGGTGGTCGAGCTGGAGCGTCTGGCCTTGGAAGTCTTCCTCCTTCTCTGCGTGTTGTCTTCTCCTTCCCTTGGCTCGAAAGAAGAGGCTCTGTGAGGCTCTTGGGAGAGCCTCCTTTGAGTGGTGAGGAGTGACCTACTCCTAGGGAAAGTGGGGCCTTGGGTGCCTTCTTCTTCTTGCTTGAAGAACCAGAAACCTTTCTTCTCCAAACTCTTGATCTTGCTCACCATCTTGTCCATGGACTTTTGCATCTTCTCATGGCTTTCCCTTGCCATTTGTTGAACTTTTGGAGAAGTCCAATCCTCTTGTGGGCAGCCACAACAGAGGGGTTCATCCTTGGAGCCTCATACTCCTCAAAGTAATAGCACTCAGGCTCACCCAAATCAGCACTCTCCTGCACTCATCTTCAGCTTGATCTCAGCTCGATCCTCAGCTCGATCGAGCTCAGGCTCCTCTTCTTGCAAATCCGCTTCATGCCCAACTAAAGTGTACACAGGGGGTCTGAAATCAATGTTTGTACCTCCTAGAACCGTGGTGAGCTCAGGGTTGGGCAGAAGAAGCTTGGAGAGGTCCAGCCAATGGATGGTGAACTTGAATTGGAACCTCCCATCCAACTCCTTGTGCTCAATGAGGAGGTTGGTCTTGCAAAACTTGATGTCCATCCAACCTGGTGGAGTAGACCTTCTCTTGTCCACTTGAACTCCTGCTGCACAAAGAATTGGTGTGATCACCCCTCCAACACTAAGCTTTCTTCCTCTTGGTGCCTAGTGTTGTAAGCTGTGACCTTGTAGGCTTGGAGCTGCTCAAGGAGAGGCATGAGATTCCCTGCGTGTGCCTATCTCCTCTGATCTTCTTCCCATCCCTTGTGCGTGAGATGATGGGCTTGATTCCCATGTCAAGGAGCTTCACTTCTCCCTCATTGATTGTCCAGTGGCTTTCCTTGCAAAGAAGGTGTTGGCAAGTGCCTTGTGGACATATCTCAAGCACAGGCTCCTGATCTGAGCAGCCTTGGACCTTGAGGAAGAGTACACTCCATCAGCGATTGTAGCCCAACTCCTTTGGAGTTCTTTTCCTTGATGTTCCATAGGTTCCTTCTCCATAGTGAACCCAAACAGTATCTCAAGCTGCCTAAAGGTCACCATCTTCTTCTCTCCCTTTGCCAAGAAAGTTATGTACCCCCAGCCTTGGTCCAACTCAGCTCGATCGAGCTCATCAAACTTGTGATGCTCATCGATGCCAAAAACTCACAAGTCAACTCCTTGTAAGACTCCATGCGGTGAGAGAAGAACTTCCAATTGCATGTTCTTGAGCACCAACTCCACATCCTCAAAGATCCAAGGTCTCTCATGTGTCATCATGTGGGTACTTGGTCTCCACAAAGTCCATGGAGAAGAGAGCATTGTAGTGCTCTTGGTACATGGGGAGCTCATCCTCCTCTTGCTCTTCCTCAGCCTCTTCCATTGGCTCATCTTGGTTCCCCTCTTGATCATCTTCATCAACCAATTGGTTCACCTCTTCTCCTTCCTCTTCACTCTCAGTCTCATCACTCCTTCTTCATTTGGAGAGCCATTTCCTCCTCTTGAACAAGGTTCACTCCAATCTCAAACTCCCCTTGCTCACTCTCACTACTAATAGGGTCATTCCTCTTCTTGGTTCTCCTTTCTTCCCTCAATCTCTCACTCTCAGACTGTCCTCCTCAGAGTAGACATATCCTCTGCATCAGATCTTCCATCCTCTGATCATCCTCTTCCAAATCGGCTTGCATCTTAAGCCTTCTTTCCCTTGCATTGCTTGATTCACCCTCAACCATTCTCCTTGTGAAGCACGACTTCCCTCACTGTTTGTCATCTTGTTACACTGTTTCTTCACTAAAGTACCTGAAATGCATCAAAGATTACAAAGAATTAGAGTTGTAATGATCGGTTTGGTCAACTCGACACTCAGCTCGATCGAGTCAAAAAACTCGAGTGACAAACTCGATCGAGTTGGGTGAAAACAGAGTATAACCAAACCTAATTCAAGTATTAAGAGCTGGAAAGGATGCTAATCAATCAAATTGAACCAAGAACAACTAGTAAATGGAACAATGAGCAATTCTAGTGAAAGCACTAAGCATCTTAACCAAACCAAACTCAAATTCAATTTTCAAGCACATGCAACAAGTTTAAAGGCAAAACAGAGGTGAGGTGACAAACTAACAAGATTATACAGCAGAGGCGAAATATGAGGGCAATTACTCAAGAACAAGTCCACAAGGGACACATGCAATCAAAAATCAAAGAGAAACAAGCAATAGTTGAAATCGAGATGGATGAGTAAGGGTTTTAGGGTTCATACCTTGTTGAATGATGGAATTGAAGAGCAGTAAACTAAAACCCAAGCAAAACAAGATGAAGAACAAGGAAATCGCAAAAACTTAAGAGAGAGATTGAAATCGATTTTTCTTGTGGTGAAGAGAGAGAGAGATGAGTTTCAGAAATTTTAAGTGTGGGAGAGTGGAGAAGTGGATTCGATCGAGTTATGGGGAAGAGGGGTGTTTGAGATGTGTGGTTGAGATTAAAAGATGAAATAAAGAGGGAACAAGAAGCTAGGGATTCTCTGATCAATTAGGGTAGTGGGGGACCAAAATCAGCTTGTGGGACCCACTCCCTTGACCAAGAAAACGGTTATGAATTTGAAATTCAAAAACTTACCTCGGTCGAGTTGTGTAGCTCGATCGAGTTGCCCTGGTTTCTAGCTCGATCGAGCTATCGGTCGAGCTGGCTCCTTTGACACCTAAACTTAACTTATTCAAAGGTTAAAAACATAAAGATAGATAGAAATTGCATAAATAGAGTATGTACAAGGATAAACATGGGACTTCCTCCCAAGTGAGCTTGTTTAAGGTCCCATAGCTTGACCTTTACCTTTTAGGCATTGGTTGAGCTAGTCCCACCATCAAGGGTGATAGTGAGGACTTGAGACAGAAGCTCCTTTAGCTTGGTTGGGTCCCTGGACTGTTCTGAAGTCACCAAGGCCTTGGCTCTAGAGAATGGCCTTGATCTCCCCTTGTACCTTATCTTGTACTCAATCTTCCCATTTTCAAACTTGGTGGGGAACAAAGTCATTGTGAGCTGAGATGGCTTGACTGAAGGGGCCTGAGCTGGTGGATCTTTCTTTTATCCCTGGTCTTGCCTTAGAGGCTACATCCTCCCCTTCTTTTAGAGCCCTTCCTAGTGGCTCATCAAACAAAGCTTGAAGGCTCTCTTCATCAAGCACACAAGGGGCTTGAACAAGTCTCTCAGCTCTTGGCCTATCAGATCGTGGTTTCTCAACTCTAGCCCTCTCAAGACGTGGCTTCTCAATCCTTGGTCCTCTCTCATCCTTATCCTTCCCAACTCTTGGTTCCTTGTCAACCCTTTCCTTCACAACCTTTGTAGCTCCATGACTCTTAGAACTGAGAGTGGTACTGTCAATTGTGGCACAAAAGTCTGAACCTCTAGGCTGCAAGCGATATGACACCAAACTATTCACCTTGTGAAGGATCACTTCTTGCTTGTGAAAGTCTATTGAAGCGCCAACTGTACTAAGGAAAGGGGTTCCCAATAACAGAGGTAAATCCTTCTCTTCTTCCATTTCCATCACAGTGAGATCAGTTTGGATGATGCATTCTCCAATTTTCAAGTGATAGTTCTTGAACACTCCAAGAGGAGACTTAGAAGTTGCATCTCCAAACATGATTGAAGTAGTAGGGCGCTGCAAGGCTCCAGCAATGCCTAGCTTCTCTGCCATGGAGAGAGAGATCAGATTGATGCTTGCTCCAGAATCCACTAAGGCATTGTCAATCTCAAGATGCCCAAGTGTGCAAGGGAGAGTGAATTTCCCTTGATCCTTGACCTTTGGTAGGAAGGTGGGTGAAGTAAGCAGGTTGAACTGATGAGTAGACTCTTGTAGGACCTCTGAAACTTTATCACTGTTGGCTAGAACATCCTTGACCATTTGCATTTGATCAAATGCCTCACTCATGCTATCCATAGGAGGCAACTCAATTCCAATCCCACTGAGATCTCTTCTGAACTTGTGAATCACTTCCTTGTGACCTTGACTAAGTAGGCGAGACGAGGAAGCGGCAACCGGTTGATAAGGATCAAGCAAAACAGGCTGTCGGACAGAAGAGGTCGGACTCGATCGAGCTAGAGTTGGACTCGATCGAGCTGCCGATCGAGCTTGTCGTGCGAGCTCAACTGGTGAAGTGTGAATGGCCACAGTAGGTGCATGCACTTCTGGTTGATCAATCTGGACTCCAGGAGCCTCAGCAGCAACAATCTCTTCATCATTCAGCAGTAAACAAAAATCTTCAATGACCCTTTCTTGATCCTCTTCTTCAACAAGTCCTTCTTGAGTGAAGATGACCTTGCACTGTTCCTTGGGGTTCTGAATAGCTTTACCAGGTAGTTGTCCTTGCTTTGTAGCAGCAGCAACAGAAGAAGCATGATTCTCCAGAGAGTAAACCCTTGTGTTGAGGTTCTCGATCTTAGAGTTTATTTCAGCTAGCTTCTTGCTTGTGTCCACTACCCCATCAGCTTGCCCTTGAAGTAGTTGCTTTAGCATTGCCTTGAGCTCATTCTCTTGTGAAGGTGCAGGCTGGGGCGGTTGGTGGGGGAAGCCTGGTGGGATATTCATTTGTTGTCCAGGGAAAGTGCCTTGTGGTCCTTGGTAATTGTTCTTTTGACCATACCCATGTTGTGGCACCTGACTCGATCGAGCTGCTTGTTGTTGAGGATATACTTGGTCCTGAGGGTTAGCAACATCAGTGTTGCGGTATGACATGGCAGGGTTGGACTTGTAATTATAGTATCCTTTGTTGTAACCTCCTTGCCCATTGCTCATGTAGCACACCTCAGCAAATTGTGTATCCTCCCCTTCTTGGACTGGTTCCATCTCCTCAGCAGACACAAAGTTGACTTTCTTCATTGTGGACTGAGCTAGGATCAGCTTATCCAACTTCTCATTCAATGCCTTAACATCTTTTCTCAACTTTTCGTCTGACTCGATCGAGTGGTGGGTCGAGCTCCGATTGGTGCGATCATACTCTTCTCCATAGCTTCCATTTGAGTTAGCTATGTTCTCCACAAGTTGCCAGCCATCATCTACATCCTGGTTGAGGAAGTTCCCATTGCTAGCTGTGTCTAGCATCTCCCTATACCTAGGCAAGCATCCTCTATAAAGAGTTCTCTATAAAGCTTCTGTTCCCAGAGGAGCTTATTGATGAGAATCTAGAAGGATTCAAGGAGAGAGTGGCAAGAACTCTAAAGCTTTTTCCTAAGGCAGTAGTGCCAAGGGACATTCATGGAGAGATTGTCTATCCAGCTGTGAATCACCCACCAGATACTCATTGCAAGGAGAAAAGACTTGGAGGATCAAGGATGCCTCTTGTCTCCTATCTTCTCCTGAGCGCCAAGCCTTACAGTCAAGCTAAAGACTTAAAACAAGCGCTGCATGGGAGGCAACCCATGAGGTACTTTTACTTTTCTTTCTTTAATTTTCTTAGTTTTTGTTTTGCTTTTGTGTTTTCTTTGTTTTAAGATAGGATAGAAGGAGAAAAAGGTGTGAAAACACAATCCGCGCCAAAACATTGGCCGCGGACGCGCAAAAGTAATTTTGGCCGAGCAATTCTCATCTGGCCGACCGTTACGGTCGAGCCGGGAAGGAATAGCTCGTGCTCGGCCGGATTCACTCCATTGCGCGACAGAACCGTTCGCGCGCACGACTGCACGGAAGGAACAGCGCGCTCGGCCGAAATTTTCGTATCGGAACGGACCGACCGTGCCGGTCGATCCGGGAAACAAACGATCGGCCTCGGCCGAAATTCTCTCGCCAAAACGAATTTGGCCGACCAAATCGCTCGACCGCGACAAAATCCATCGGCCATCGGCCCAAAACTTTTCTAGGCCAAGGTAAGTCCCCTTTTCATTAAATTCAAACCGGTTTTAACCAATCTAAACCAACTTAAACCGGTTTTCAATCAAAATTCGAATTTGAAAAGGAAAATTGATAGGATTTAGATCTTATTTACTTTCACCTTTCCCTTGAAAACCACAAGAACCTCTCTTTCTTCTCCAAAACCCTAAACTCCATTAGAGGAACTCTAAGAGTTTTGATTTCAAAACTTTTACTGTTCATAACTCTAAATTGGAATTTACTTGCTCTTGCAACCTTATTCACTTTTCAACACACAAGGTATGTCTTCTAACTCTAATCCTATGTTTATGCAAGATCGAAAATCTTAATAAGTTTCATGTTTGGTCTAAACTCTTGTCTAGACTTGAAATTAGCATCCTTATAGTCTTGTAATGAACTTTGCTAGGTGGAACCTAGGTGGTTTAGAGTTAATTTGAAGTTTAATTTCACAATTGAATAGTTTTTCACAAAACTTATTGGGCATTCCAAACCCCTTATTCAAAGGTGAAATTGCTTAGGCATACTTCAATTCATTAGTTTATCTAGTGATTACTTGGATTAGAAACTCAATTTCTCTTGATTTGCTGAAAATTTTGATTTTAAGCACCATAATCTTGGGATGAACAGTAAAATCCGAAAATTAATTTTGAAAAAGTGAAATTTCTATTTTGTCTCTTTGATTCATGATTAAGCCTTGAGTTGTTCCTTTATTCCATATCATTATTGCAACTCAATTAGCTTATTCTTCTTTTGCATTAATCACAAACTCATATTTCTTCCCAAGAATTTGCTCTTGTAGGTACACAATGGCAAAGACAAAAGGAAATGAGAGTATGAAGAAGAAGAAGAACCCATTCATGGAACCACCAAAGAAGCAAATCAAGCTAGGGAGTAGTAGCTCCAATGCAAGAGCAGAATACCAACTTCACCACATTCCATTGATGCAATCAAGAACATGTGGAGAGTCCAAGAAGAGGAGAAGATGATTGGGCACTTGTAACCTTTGTTGGAGAACAAAATCAAGACCCAAGAAAGTGTAAGAAGGCAATGGAGAAGGTGAACATCGAGCCATGTGTGAAGATGGACACCCAAACCCTTGATCTTCTCAAGATAAGAGATGATGTCACATGGTACATAAGGAAGCTAGGCTTGAGCAAGCTCTTCAAGCTAGAATGTAGTGAGTACTCACAACTCACCAAGGAGTTCCTCTCCACAGTAGCTCTTGCCTTTCCCAACCACAATGGAGACCAACCAGCTGGTGATGGACTCCTACTCTTCAAGATAGGCGATGCCAATGGGCGCATCTCATCTCAGCTCTATGCCAACTCTTTGGACTTCCCAATGAGACAGCACATGACTTCAAGGAGAACTCAAAGAGGAAACAAGCTGCCTTTGCTGATTGGACACACTTTGCCAATGAACCATTCTTGCCTTCAAGGTCAAAGGTGTCTAGAATCACCCATCCAGCCATTCGCTATGTGCACCGCCTCATCTCCACCACTTTCCAATGCAAACAAGAAGCCAACAAGGTCACAACTGATGAGTTCTACATCCTCACCACACCATTCATCAAGCATGAGTACAAGGCCAACCTTGGACTTTTACTTGCCAAGACATTTATCAATGTGAGGAAGCTAGCTCAAGACTTGGAAGGCAACAAGAAGCTTTGTGTTCGTTTTGGGAGGCTTATCACGGCCATAGTACTGCATGTGGGGATTGACATTCCCAACTATGAGCCACTACCCAAGCCAACCCCTTTGGATCTCCATGCTCTTCAGCACATCCACTTCCTAAACCGTTGGACTAAAGACCCAACTCGGTTTTGCTATGAGTTTCCAATTGGTCCAGCCAACACTTCCCTTGTCTTGCTGCCACATGAAGACATCCCAAGCCTACGCTCAGGAGTTGTCACTTTCCAGCCCAATGAGGAAGATTCTATGTTCCATCAAGTGAGAAACCATCATTCCCCATGCTCACCTATCGCACACTTCAGCATGCAGTCAAGACTCAACGCCGCATCCAAGAACGCCATGTTCTCACTACTGGCATGGCTGCGCACCAAGCTCTAGACCGTGTTAACAAGCTGGAGAAGATAGTGGAATGCCAATCTCGCTTCATCTCACGCCTAGTTCGTGTAGTTCGCCACATTGCACCGGAGAGACTCTTTCGCCCTTCTTCCACCGCTAGAGAGCCATATGAGCCTGACCTTGGTGAGTTCTCACTAGACTCAGAGCTTGGTTCAGAAGGCGATGACCCCATAGATGAGGAAGAGAGTTCTTCTCACTGCCACACATAGTCATCTCAAGTGGTACTTAGTGCAATGGACACTTACAAATCTCCATTTTCTATCCCTATCTTATTTTAATGAATTTTTCTTTATTTTTCTTTTACTTTGAATATTACCTCTCACCTTAATGTGATTTGCTTTCACCGGGACGGTGCAAGTTAAGTCTGGGGGGAGTTTTATTGTGTTACTAATGCATTTTTCTTTCTTTTCTTATGTTTTATTCACTTTGTTTCATGTTTTTCAAAAAGTTTTATTGAGTCAAAAACCAGTCCGGAAGTTATGAACTTGCTTTGAGAATTGAGAGTGTTGTGCTAACAATCCATGACCCTAGAGCAGAAACCAGCTAAAGGCACAAGCCTAACAGAAGCTCTTACAGTGGATCGACATGCTAGCTCAGCAAAATCTCTTACACAAGCCTAACATAAGCTCTTACTAATGCATTTTTCTTTCTTTTCTTATGTTTTATTCACTTTGTTTCATGTTTTTCAAAAAGTTTTATTGAGTCAAAAACCAGTCCGGAAGTTATGAACTTTCTTTGAGAATTGAGAGTGTTGTGTTAACAATCCATGACCCTAGAGCAGAAACCAACTAAAGGCACAAGCCTAACAGAAGCTCTTACAGTAGATCGACATGCTAGCTCAGCAAAATCTCTAAGGTAACCAAGAAATCTAGAGTTAACCTCACACTTAATCAATCTTAATTACTCTTATCAAGGGGGTTGGCATACATGTCGACAGTTCCTTGCTTGATTTTCAATAAGATTTGTCTAATCTTTAAAGAGTTCTCCTCTTTCTCCCATCCCAAATGGTAAGTAATGTGATATGAGAAAAAGCTCAAAGAGCACAAGGACAACAAGTAAGCATGAGGAATGCATATGTTTGTACCTTCATGTCTTATGGAATACCTTAGTCAAACAAGGAACAAGCTAAAGACTTATCCTGTGGTTGAAAGAAATGTCAATAGAAAAAAATAAAATGATACCCTAGAAAAGTAGGGATAAATTGACCTTTCAAAGTTCTGATGTGAGAAAGAGAGAGGAAAAGGACTCATTGCACTTGAAGAGGCAATCTTGGAGAGGATCAAGTGGGTAAGAAAAAGTTCAATTGATCGATGTCCCCTTGATAAAGAATTCACGCTTTAAATTTATGCAAGAGGTTAGCAATAGAGAGTTTGGATTGCTGGATAAGACTAGTTGGGTTGGTATTGTTCGGTAAACTTGCAGGGTGTATGTGAAGCTAACCTTATGTTGCCTATGTTCTTAGTGGAATACAGGAAAGGAACCCTTCACAGGATATTCAAAGGAGCAAGGGAGTTTCCACGTTTTCAAACCTCTTTCACGGATTTAGATTCTGTTTGCTTGGGGACAAGCAAAGATCTAAGTCTGGGGGAGTTGATATACCTCTATTTTACATGCTTTTAATACTGTTTTAGTATTGTTTTCTAATGGTTTTTGGCAGATTTTCTATCTAAAAAGGTAGTTTTACTGTGTTTATAGTGTCTAGAGTCTAAACAGGTGAAAGGATGCATTTTGGAGCAAAACCATAGGATTTGCACTTCAAGCCGCTTGATATACCTCTATTTTACTTACTTTTTATGCTATTTTACTATGGTTTTTTTTCTAGTGGATTCTTGTGTTAAAAGGTAGTTTTTATGGATTTATAGTGCAAAGAGTCATTTTACGTAAAAATGTGCATTATGGAGCAAAACAGGAGATTTGGACTCTAAACCAGTTCAATGCCCCTGCATCAACTTTGGATGGAGCTAGAAAAAGATCTACTCAATGGATTTCACCAAGACCAGTTCCCTGCGTGCTCTGATTGAGTTAAATTTCCAACGCAATTGGAAAGGCATCATTTGGATGAGTAGAAAAGGAGTTATAGCCAAAAGAGTGAAGACTGTCCAGACGGCTCTATCGAGAATCAGCGCCCAAACCGCGCAGTCCGGCTGGCCGAGGAACGCATGTTCCGCGCTCGGCCAAAGCTGCGTCCGTCCGACTGAAGTCTCGGCCAAGTCCAAAACCACTCGGCCGATCACGCATCACGACCCGGGAAACTCAAGCCCGCGGTCGGCCACGCCACAACTGGCCGCGCCACAACCGCGCACGACCAAAGCGCGCGACCCGGGAAACTATGCCTCGCGTCCGGCCGAAGATTTCCATCGGCCAATTCCTATCCGCCCGACCACGCCGGCGATCGTCATAACATCCGGCCCCGACCGTTCCGACTCGGCCAAAGACCCGACTGTCCGGCCGACCGTCCCGCACGACCGTCCGAACGCCGCGGTCGACCCGAAGCCGTTTTTGAAGCCCAATCCGCACAATTCAAGCCCAAAGCCGGCGCCGACCTAGAAGATTAGGTCTAGCCGCTTTCATACTTACAGCATTATAAATACTTCTTTTTAGCCTTGTAACTCAAGGAGGAGAGAGACCACAATCTATTTTACATCTTAATAAAGTTTTGCTTGCTTTTACTTTGTTCTTGCTTGTTACTCTTTCTAGAGAGGATTCGAATCTCTGTTCTTATGAATATGAATTCGTTTCCTTCTCTATGTCTGAGTAGTTTACTTGTTAAGTGATAGGAAGTCAAAGGATAGCATTCATGAATGCTTGATGATTGATCACAATTAGGGTTTTACTTACAATCTCCATCTTTGCTTATACTTAATGCTTGTTGTTAATCTGGCCAATTAGCATATGCCTTTAGGTTGATTTGAGCCTCGACAGTGCTGTATCATTCGCCTGAACTAGTATTTGGTGGGCAATCTCTTTTAGACTGCGACAGTTGATCTACTTGTAGGTTGTGAACAATTGATCTTGATCGAACTAATGCTTGATTTAATCACCTAGGGACATACCAAAAGTTTAGCGACTAGGTAGATTAACAAAGGGGTCGGAGCCTCGACAGTGGAATGATCATACCATAGTGTTTCAAGTTCTAGATTAGCACCTAATTGCGGTAACCCTAATTGATTGATTTCATGCTTCTTGAATTGCTTATCTCAAGACTATCCTATTGCTTAGCTTTCTCTCCTATTGAATCCTTACTTTTAATTACTTGCATGCTTTACTTTCTCTGCACTCAACCAACTTATACTTTTGCCCTAGCTTGATTCAAACTCATAACTTGTAGTGTGCAATCTGGTCCTTGTGTTCGATACCCGTTTACTACTTCTGACCTGTGCACTTGCAGAATCAGGGATAGGAAAGGGGAAGACCTGATCCCGCGATCACCGCTCCATGCACAAGCACCAACTTTAAGAGGGCCCAGAAAAAGATCTACTCAATGGATTTCATCAAGACCAGTTCCCTGCGTGCTCTGATTGAGTTAACTTTCCAACGCAACTGGAATGGCTCATTTGGATGAGTAGAAAAGGAGTTATAGCCAAAAGAGTGAAGCTGCTCCAGACGGCTCTATCGAGAATCAGCGCCCAAACGCGCAGTCCGGCTGGCCGAGGAACGCATGTTTCGCGCTCGGCCAAAAGTGTCCGTCCGACTGAAGTCTCGGCCAAAGTCCAAAACCGCTCGGCCGATCACGCAACACGACCCGGGAAACATTGTCCCGCGGTCGGCCAAGCAACGTCACGCCATGCCGCGCACGACCAGCCGCGCGAGCCGGGAAACAAAGCCTCGCGGCCGCGCAACCCGTTCGCGTACCACGGCCGATGCATCCGTCCGAGCCGGGAAAGAACGTCCCACGTCCGGCCGAGAAACCTCATCGGCCAAATCTCATCCGCTCGACCACGCCGGCCGACCGTGAATCCATCCGGCCACGACCGTTCCGACTCGGCCACGACCCGACTGTCCGGCCGATCGTCCCGACCGACCGTCCCAACGCCGCGGTCGACCCGAAGCCCGTTTTGAAGCCCGATTTCATATTTTCAAGGCCCGGCTTAACCCTAAGCCGCCTCAAAAAGACCTAGCACTATATATATAGCTTTTTAGCCTCTTGTGAAAAGAGAGCCGCCCTTGTATTTCGATTTCCTACTCTAAGTTTTATTGCAATCATGTTTTCTTCATCTCTATGTGTGTTTGCTTTGATCATGTCTGAGTAATCCACTAGTTAGGTTGCTAGGGTTACTATTCAATGAGTTGCTTGCATGATCTTTGATTTCAATGATTAGCTAGGGATTATATTAGAGTCTTTGTCTCGTCTTGTGCACTTAACTAATGCTGATTGCTTTACCGCGCATCTAGTAATCCGATCTTAGGTTGATTTGAGCCTCGACAGTGCTGTATCATTCGCCGGACATATTCTTTGACAAGCTAGGTTTCTTAGACTGCGAAAGTTGATCTACTATAATCTAGTGAACTGTATCAGAACCTATTCATTCTAAAGCTTGATTTAATCACCTAGGGACATACTGATGCGATCATGGATGAGGAGGTTCAGGAAAAGCAGCTCTTGGCCGAGGAAGAAGATGGGATGGAGCAGCTTGTAGCCGCGGATGGACTTGAAGCAGAGCAGCTTGAACCTGAGGAGATCATAGCCATTCCAACGGGCCCCATTACTCGTTCACAAACTAAGGCACTAAACCAAGAAATTGGCAAAGTCCTTAGCTGTTTGAGTCAGCAAGAAACCAAGCCAACTACTCTAGTTTGCTTGAAGGCCTTACAAATGGGATAAAGAGACAAGTGTGTTGTGGTGTGCTCTTTTTCCCTTGTCAAGTTTTGTCCCTTTGGGTTTTCTTGACAAGGTTTTTAACGAGGCCCATAGCACACTTTCAAATAATCTCTTTTCTCATTTGTGAAGGTCCGGCCCATGTGTTTCAAAAGAGAGCGCCAAGCAACCGAAGGGTCGTATTTTCTAGTCTTTGTTTCATTTATGTTTTTGTGATTTCTCGAGATGTTTGGAGCTTGTTCCAACATCTCTCTCTCTCTTTCCTTCTCTCTATCTCTCGTTCCCTTTATAACTGAAACCCTAGTCTCTCTTTGAAGTTTATCAAATAATCTTTTACCAAAAACCTCTCTTTTGTTTGATCATTCTCTGTTCACTTGTTGTGCGTAATATCAACTAAGTCTACAGATTCCCTCTCACTTGTTGTGTGTAATATCAACATGTTGGAGGTGGTGTTCGAGATCTCTTCCGCTGGATCTCTAGTATAGCCATTCGTTTCACTTTTCAATCCGCTCAATCACTCATCATCAGTTCCTTTGTGATCCGATCCACTCATTCACTTACCTTCATTCACGATCTACTCCAGGGGCGTATCAGGTGGTATCAGAGCCCCTTGAAGCTAAGTGATCTCGATTTTCTTCTTTATGTTTATGACTGTTCATTTTCTAAATCTGAGAATCGTAGATCTTGAAAATGATATTGTTTTGTTGTTGTGCTATTGAAATTTGGCCGAGCAATTTCCAACCGGGCCGACCATGCCGGTCGAGCCGGGAAGGAAAGGCTCTGCTCGGCCGACGAACTTAGCGCGACAAAACCGTCCGCGCGGACGCACGGACAGAGAAGGAACAGGCCGCGCTCGGCCGGAATCACGTATCGGAAAAATCGGTTTCTCGTCCATTCGCAAGTTTGGCCGACCAAATCGCTCGACCGCGACAAAATCCATCGGCCATCGGCCCAAAACTTTTCTCGGCCAAGGTAAGTCCCCTTTTCATTAATTCAAACCGGTTTTAACCAATCTAAACCAACTTAAACCGGTTTTCAATCAAAATTCGAATTTGAAAAGGAAAATTGATAGGATTAGATTTATTTACTTTACCTTTCCCTTGAAAACACAAGAACCTCTCTTTCTTCTCCAAAACCCTAAACTCCATTAGAGGAACTCTAAGAGCTTTGATTTCAAAACTTTTACTGTTCATAACTCTAAATTGGAATTTACTTGCTCTTGCAACCTTATTCACTTTTCAACACACAAGGTATGTCTTCTAACTCTAATCCATGTTTATGCAAGATCGAAAATTTCAATAAGTTTCTTGTTTGGTCTAAACTCTTGTCTAAACTTGAAATTGCATCTTATAGTCTTGTAATGAACTTAGCTAGGTGGAACCTAGGTGGTTTAGAGTTATTTGAAGTTTAATTTCACAATTGAATAGTTTTTCACAAAACTTATTGGGCATTCCAAACCCCTTATTCAAAGGTGAAATTGCTTAGGCATACTTCAATTCATTAGTTTATCTAGTGATTACTTGGATTAGAAACTCAATTTCTCTTGATTTGCTGAAAATTTCGATTTTAAGCACCATAATCTTGGGATGAACAGTAAAATCCGAAAATTAACTTTGAAAAAGTGAAATTTCCATTTTGTTCTTTGATTCATGATTAAGCCTTGAGTTGTTCCATTATTCCATATCATTATTACAACTCAATTAGCTTATTCTTCTTTTGCATTAATCACAAACTCATATTTCTTCCCAAGAATTTGCTCTTGTAGGTACCCAATGGCAAAGACAAAAGGAAATGAGAGTATGAAGAAGAAGAAGACCCATTCATGGAACCACCAAAGAAACAAATCAAGCTAGGGAGTAGTAGCTCCAATGCAAGAGCAGCAATACCAACTTCACCACATTCCATTGATGCAATCAAGAACATGTGGAGAGTCCAAGAAGGAGAAGATGATTGGGCACTTGTAACCTTTGTTGGAGAACAAATCCAAGACCCAAGAAAGTGCAAGAAGGCAATGGAGAAGGTGAACATCGAACCTTGTGTGAAGATGGACACCCAAACCCTTGACCTTCTCAAGATAAGAGATGATGTCACATGGTACATAAGGAAGCTAGGCTTGAGCAAGCTCTTCAAGCTAGAGTAGTGAGTACTCAACTCACCAAGGAGTTCCTCTCCACAGTAGCTCTTGCCTTTCCCAACCACAATGGAGACCAACCAGCTGGTGATGGACTCCTACTCTTCAAGATAGGCGATGCCAATGGGCGCATCTCCATCTCAGCTCTATGCCAACTCTTTGGACTTCCCAATGAGACAGCACATGACTTCAAGGAGAACTCAAAGAGGAAACAAGCTGCCTTTGCTGATTGGACACACTTTGCCAATGAACCATTCTTGCCTTCAAGATCAAAGGTGTCTAGAATCACTCATCCAGCCATTCGCTATGTGCACCGCCTCATCTCCACCACTTTCCAATGCAAACAAGAAGCCAACAAGGTCACAACTGATGAGTTCTACATCCTCACCACACCATTCATCAAGCATGAGTACAAGGCCAACCTTGGACTTTTACTTGCCAAGACATTCATCAATGTGAGGAAGCTAGCTCAAGACTTGGAAGGCAACAAGAAGCTTTGTGTTCGTTTTGGGAGGCTTATCACGGCCATAGTACAACATGTGGGGATTGACATTCCCAACTATGAGCCACTACCCAAGCCAACCCCTTTGGATCTCCATGCTCTTCAGCACATCCACTTCCTAAACCGTTGGACTAAAGACCCAACTCGGTTTTGCTATGAGTTTCCAATTGGTCCAGCCAACACTTCCCTTGTCTTGCTGCCACATGAAGACATCCCAAGCCTACGCTCAGGTGTTGTCACTTTCCAGCCCAATGAGGAAGACTTCTATGTTCCATCAAGTGAGAAACCATCATTCCCCATGCTCACCTATCGCACACTTCAGCATGCAGTCAAGACTCAACGCCGCCACCAAGAACGCCATGTTCTCACTACTGGCATGGCCGCGAACCAAGCTCTAGACCGTGTTAACAAGCTGGAGAAGATAGTGGAATGCCAATCTCGCTTCATCTCACGCCTAGTTCCGTGTAGTTCGCCACATTGCACCGGAGAGACTCTTTCGCCCTTCTTCCACCGCTAGAGAGCCATATGAGCCTGACCTTGGTGAGTTCTCACTAGACTCAGAGCTTGGTTCAGAAGGCGATGACCCCATAGATGAGGAAGAGAGTTCTTCTCACTGCCACACATAGTCATCTCAAGTGGTACTTAGTGCAATGGACACTTACAAATCTCCATTTTCTATCCCTATCTCATTTTAATGAATTTTTCTTTATTTTTCTTTTACTTTGAATATTACCTCTCACCTTAATGTGATTTGCTTTCACCGGGACGGTGCAAGTTAAGTCTGGGGGGAGTTTTATTGTGTTACTAATGCATTTTTCTTTCTTTTCTTATGTTTTATTCACTTTGTTTCATGTTTTTCAAAAAGTTTTATTGAGTCAAAAACCAGTCCGGAAGTTATGAACTTGCTTTGAGAATTGAGAGTGTTGTGCTAACAATCCATGACCCTAGAGCAGAAACCAGCTAAAGGCACAAGCCTAACAGAAGCTCTTACAGTGGATCGACATGCTAGCTCAGCAAAATTTCTAAGGTAACCAAGCAATCTAGAGTTAACCTCACCCTTAATCAATCTTAATACTCTTGTCAAGGGGGTTGGCATACATGTCGACAGTTCCTTGCTTGATTTTCAATAAGATTTGTCTAATCTTTAAAGAGTTCTCCTCTCTCTCCCATCCCAAATGGTAAGTAATATTTATGAGAAAAAGCTCAAAGAGCACAAGGAAAACAAGTAAGCATGAGGAATGCATATGTCTGTACCTTCATGTCTTATGGAATACCTTAGTCAAACAAGGAACAAGCTAAAGACTTATCCTGTGGTTGAAAGAAGGGTCAATAGAAAAAATAAAATGATACCCTAGAAAAGTAGGGAGAAATTGACCTTTCAAAGTTCTGATGTGAGAAAGAGAGAGGAAAAGAACTCATTGCACTTAAAGACAATCTTGGAGAAGATCAAGTGGGTAAGAACAAGTTCAATTGATCGATGTCCCCTTGATAAAGAATTCACGCTTTAAATTTATGCAAGAGGTTAGCAATAGAGAGTTTGGATTGCTGGATGAGACTAGTTGGGTTGGTATTGTTCGCTAAACTTGCAGGGTGTATGTGAAGCTAACCTTATGTTGTCTATGTTCTTAGTGGAATACAGGAAAGGAACCTTTCACAGGATATTCAAAAGAGCAAGGGAGTTTCCACGTTTTCAAACCTCTTTCACGGATTTAGATTCTTTTTGCTTGAGGACAAGCAAAGATCTAAGTCTGGGGGAGTTGATATACCTCTATTTTACACTTTTTATACTGTTTTAGTATTGTTTTCTAATGGTTTTTGGCAGGTTTTCTATCTAAAAAGGTAGTTTTACTGTGTTTATAGTGTCTAGAGTCTAAACAGGTGAAATGATGCATTTTGGAGCAAAACCATAGGATTTGCACTTCAAGCCGCTCCATGCACAAGCACCAACTTTAAGAGGGCCCAGAAAAAGATCTACTCAATGGATTTCATCAAGACCAGTTCCCTGCGTGCTCTGATTGAGTTAACTTTCCAACGCAACTGGAATGGCCTCATTTGGATGAGTAGAAAAGGAGTTATAACCAAAAGAGTGAAGACTGTCCAGACGGCTCTATCGAGAATCAGCGCCCAACCGCGCAGTCCGGCTGGCCGAGGAACGAATGTTCCGCGCTCGGCCAAATCATCCGTCCGTCTGAAGTCTCGGCCAAAGTCCAAACCACCGGCCGATCACGCATCACGACCCGGGAAACATGTCCCGCGGTCGGCCAAGCCACGCCACTCACGCCAGCCGCGCACGACCATGCGCGCGAGCCGGGAACAAGCCTCGCGGCCGCGCAACCTTCGCGTACCACGGCCGATGCGCCGTCCGAGCCGGGAAAGACGTCCCACGTCCGGCCGAGAACATCGGCCAATCTTCATCCGTCCGACCACAGCGGCCGACCACGAATCCGTCCGGCCACGACCGTTCCGACTCGGCCATGACCCGATTGTCCGGCCGATCGTCCCGCCGACCGTCCCAACGCCGCGGTCGACCCGAAGCCCGTTTTGAAGCCCGTTTCACTATTTTCAAGCCCGGCTTAACCCTAAGCCGCCTCTAGAAGACCTAGCACTATATATATAGCTTTTTAGCCTCTTGTGAAAGAGAGCCGCCCTTGTATTTCGATTTCCTACTCTAAGTTTTATTGCAATCATGTTTTCTTCATCTCTATGTGTGTTTGCTTTGATCATGTCTGAGTAATCCACTAGTTAGGTTGCTAGGGTTACTATTCAATGAGTTGCTTGCATGATGATTTCTGATTAGCTAGGGATTATATTAGAGTCTTTGTCTCGTCTTGTGCACTTAACTAATGCTGATTGCTTTACCGCGCATCTAGTAATCCGATCTTAGGTTGATTTGAGCCTCGACAGTGTTGTATCATTCGCCGGACATATTCTTTGACAAGCTAGGTTTCTTAGACTGCGAAAGTTGATCTACTATATCTAGTGAACTGTATCAGAACCTATTCATTCTAAAGCTTGATTTAATCACCTAGGGACATACCAAAAGTTTAGCGACTAGGTAGATTAACAAAGGAGCCGGAGCCTCGAAAGTGGAATGGTTTTATATTCGTGATCTGTGTTCTAGACGGTTCTTAATATCCCAATATCCCTAATCAATTCATCTATCATTGTTTCATTGATCATTGCTTGCTTCTCTGCGATAGCCCCTATGACCTAGCGCTTTTCCTTTATTGATTTACAACCTCGTTTACTTGCTAGTTCGGTTCACCATTACAACCTCAATCATACTTTTGTTTTAGCTTGATCCAAAATCCATAGTTTCAAAGTGTACTCAATAGCCAGTCCTTGTGTTCGATACCCATACTTCCGCGATCTGTGCACTTGCAGAGGTCTAGGAGTTTGGTAAAACCTGACTCAACATCATCATCCAGTGAGATCGATCCTTGAAGGCTATAGAAACTGTGCTTAAATCAACCCTTTAGCACCCATGAACTATCATTCTCATGAGACAGGTATGCTAAAGCTCTTAGTGGACTTGTTCAAGTGATATTTTATGCATTCTCATGAAGTTAACCACTCAAAATCGAACACACCATGGATAGTGGTTGTTTTATCTTAAGCTTGGTCCAAAAAGAGATATATTTTTAGTTTAAGAACCTAAGGCAACAAGGATTAAGCATAAACAGCCCTTAACCTAACCCATCCTTAATCCTAATGGAAATTTACTCCCTAAACATGATTAAGAAAGCCGTAAAATGTAATGAAATAGACATCATTAGATAAAGGAAAGCAAGATAAACAACTTTATTAGAAATAGCAAAGTGCAAATAAGCAAGTACAAGGTCTAGATCTAAGATTCAATGAGCATAAGATAAAAAACACAAAGATGAGGCTAAAAGCTAAAAGGAAAAAGGAAAATTACATGATTAAGCAAAACTTTTTTAATTCGTGGCTCTTTGGCTTTTATAGCAAAGCAAACTAGGTTTAAGGTCAAAGCCAGTCCAAGGGAAGCAACAATTTTCGGATCCTTGTCCCCTGGAAAGCAGCTCGATCGAGTTGTCTTTTGGCTGGTCGAGCTAATGCAATGTTTGAGAAGTTTGGCCTAGCTCGATCGGTTGGTCAAGCGGCTGGGTTGAGCTGTGCATAAAGGTGCCACCTTTCTTCATCTTGAGCTGCGCGGTCGAGTTGTGTCCCATGCAGAGTCCTTCCTTGCTCCACACGTCCCAAGTGCTCCAAAGTGCTCCATAACGACCTGTTTAAGGTTCAAACATGCACATGTATGCAAATGCAATCCTAAAACTACAATGTATGCATAAGAAGAGCAAAACACCAAGAAATTAGGTTTTGGATGATGAAAAGTATGCAAAAGATGTATAAAAGATGGGCTAAATGCATGAATATTATGAGTACATCAATGTTTCATTCTCCTTTTGGTCCTTCTTCTTTGTATCCTGTGTGATTCTTAGCTTCCTGTGTCCAAGACTTCAAAACAAAACAAAACATTAAACTTAAACTAAAAGAAAAGAAAGTTAAGAAAAGACCTTGCATGGGTTGGTTGCCTCCCATGTAGCGCTTGTTTTGGGTCTTTAGATTAACCGTAAGACTCTTCTAGGTAGAGAAAGATGAAGGACACGGCCTGAGACAAAGTCTTTTAGTGTTTGTCTCATCATGTCCTTGGAGATGATCAGGTGGTTCTCTTTGGCGACCTCTAATGAGCTTAGACAGTTTGATTGGCGAGATGAATGGTATGGTGGGATAGAAAACTGTCTTGCTGACATTGGCTAGAGAGATTTCCTATTTGGAAGGTCCATGATAGCTCCAACAGTGGCCAAGAAAGGTCGGCCAAGTATGAGAGGTGTATCACTTCCTCCTTTGATGTTCATAACATGAAAGTCCACCGGCATCTTTGTGTCTCCTATCTCAAGAAGAACATCAAGCACTACTCCTCGCAGTTTGGCTATGGTATGATCAGCAAGTCCAATGCTGATTTGTGCAGGCTGTAAGCGTGTGAGGCCAAGGAGTTTTGCGGTAGAGGTTGGCATTAGGATGATGCAAGAACCGAAATCACAAAGTGATCTATCAAAGTAGTGGCCATTCACTTAACATGGGATGGAGAATTGGCATGGATCTTCGATCTTGTAAAGAACCTTGAATGTAGGCTGAACCTTAGCTTTCTCATAGAGCTGTATAATCTCTTATGGAATCTCTTTGCAGTTGTGGAAGAATGGGGGTGAATGGATAGTGTCTCCAAGCTTCATGGAAAGTCATGATGGCCGGAAACGTTTGGACGAATTGGTTGAACTCGGCTAGCTTCTCTCTTGAGATGGAATTTCTGTACCATTTAAGGCGTGGTGTAGGAGCTGGGTATGGTGGTTGATTTGCTGCTTTAGAAGACAAGGAGAAGCGACCTTGTCTAAAGAGTTGATGGATATCTTCCTTTGTTTCGCCGGTGGAGAAGAAAAAGTTAACCAAATCATGGCTGTTCCAAGCTTCTTCAAAGGATATGTAGAATGGGACTTTGGAGTGACTTGACCTTAGCATTAAGCTCTTTAGGCTTTATGGGGCTTATTTTGCTGGAGTACCAAGTATCTTCTACTTCATTAGATGTTGGCTGTGGCCTTTGGATCACTTATAGTCTTGGAAGTGTTGATGTTTGGCTTGGTGGTGGTGGTGAGAATTGAGGGTCAACTGAGATAGGGCTTTTCTTTCTCTTCTTAGGATAAGTATTAATGTCAATACTCTGTTCTTCATCTTCCTCATCTTCATAGTCTTCCTCATACTCTTGTTCTTCTTCTTCTTTTTCTTCACTAACATAGCGTGTGAAGCCTTCTTGTGGAAGTTCTTCAGTAGCTTTAGGTAGCTGCTCTATGTGTGGAGGAGGTTGATGGTAATGGTAGGGTCGATGGTTTAGCTTCGGTGGTGGAACATAGAGTGGACCTCTAGCAAATCTAATGAGGAAAGCTTCCTTGTATCTATTCCATGTCTTGAAATCAACTTGGGCAAATAATCTAACCCACTCTTGTGCTCTTCCAGGAAGAGATAATTGGAATAGTTGGATCTTCTTTGGATTGTCACCAAGACCATAATAGTTGCATAAACTCTCAAAGTTGTAGACATGCTAATTTGCACATTCGGATATGAAATCATGGAAAGGGTCTCTTTCCGCATGCTTGATCAGATCACCATTCATCATATCTAATGGTGGGGCATAGTTGTCTCTTTCTTCTTCTCTATCTAACCTCCTAGATGATAAGAGTGTTGGTGGTACTTGGACTTGAAAGGGGGTCGCCTAACAAATCTCTCAAGAAAGGCTTCACGGCAATCGATCCATGACTCGATTGAAAAGGGTGAAGGTTGTTGTGTACACTCAAAAGCCTCTCCCAGCTAAGGGCATGCTGAATAGCATTATCTTCTTCTCAAAGTTGAAGACTCCATAAGAATCACAAAGATTCTCAAAGTGATCAATGTGCTCCAGCGCATGCTCTTGATAGAGATCATGGAATTGATCTCTCTTCACGAACTCGATAAGCTCAGGGTCGATCTCTTCTTCTGGTGTAGCTAGAAGGTGTTCTTCTAGGTTGAAGACGGCTTGGCTAGACGTCTCCAGGTCAGCTGCTTCTAGGTAAGGGAGAAAATTCTTCTTTTTCTTCAAGGGAGCGAGTCCAAGTCGACTATTGTAAGGTTCCCATGAAGGTGGTGGTGCTTGAAAACTCGACATCCTTGACTCGATTGGATCACTCCTTTGAGGTGAGATGTGGCGAAGTCGTATCGCCCTAATTGGATTAGGAACTCTTGGATACCTATCCATATTTATAGAAAACAAAACCTGAAAAGTTCTAAAAGAAAAGGAAAAGGCAAATTAGAAAGACAAAAACGAAAATTTTAAGGAAAACCTAGGCTAAATCTCTAGCAAGAACTCGTAGGTGCTAATCTGTCGCCGGAAACAGCGCCAAAAACTTGATGCGGGATCATGTTTTTCCAATTCCTATCCCTGATTCTGCAAATGCACTGGTCAGAAGTAGCAATGGGTATCGAAACAAGGACCATATTGCACGCTACAAGGTGTGAGTTCGAGATTGAGAGCTAGGTGAATGTATAGATTTGGTGTGTTTATGATTAAAGATTAAACAATAAATGAAAGTAAAGAAAGAAAGTAAATCGAGGTTGAAATCAATAAGGGAGAGAAGCTAAGCAATAGGATAATCTCTAGATAAGCAATTCAAGTACCATCTAGAACTCAAGACACTAATGTATGATCTTGCCTCTGTCGTGGATCCGACCCCTTTGTTAATCTATCTAATCGCTAATCTTTTGGAATGTCCTTAGATGATTAATCAAGCATTAATTTGAATGAGTCTCGATTGTTCACAACCTATAAATAGATCAACTGTTGCAGTCTAGAAGAGATTGCTCACCAAGTACTAGTTCACGTGAATGTATCATAACTTTTGTGGCTCAAGTCTACCTAAGATCATATGTTGATTGGCCATATCAACACCAAGCAATGAACACAAGCAAAGGTGAAGAGTTTATGTAAAACCTTAATTCATATAAATCGATTATCAAGCTAACATGAATACTATCCTTTGATATCCTAGTACTTAACAAATAAACTACTCATACATTGAGAAGGAAATCAAAATCATATTCATAAGCACAAAGATCCGAGATCCTCTCTTGCAAGAGAACAACAAAACAAAGAAAAGCAAAACAACTTTATTCAAAGATGTAAAGTAAATCGTGGTCTCTCATTTTTTTTTGAGTTACAAGGCTAAAAAGATGTATTTATAATGCCCTCAGTCTTGAAGAGCGGCTAGTCCTAGATCTCAAAAGTCTGCATAAGTTTTGGGCTTCAAATCGTGTGAAACGGGCTTCAAAATCGGCCTTATGTCAATCGGAACGTTCGTACGGTGGTCGCTGCGTTCGGCCGGTAATTGGGTCATGCAAGGTCCTCGGTATGGTCTGTACGATAGTGGTCGGAGGGTTCCTCGGTCGGTCATCGGGATCGGTCGGACGGATATGTTAATCTGCGCGGGTTGTCGATCGCGGGACAACGGCTTCCTGGTTAGACAGCGCGGTCGTGCGGACATGTAGAATGTGGGACGTGAATGGGTCGAGCATGGGATGATGCCTTCCTGGTCGGAAGGCGTGGTCGTGCGGACATGCAAGACATTGGATGGGAACGGGTCGACCACGGAGCGATGCTTCCCGGGTCGACCTGTGCGCTCGGCCTCATGTATGGAAGGTCAATAGATGGTGCAGGACATGGCTCGACCGTGGGACGGTGTTTCCCGGGTCGGCCGACGCGCGAAGTCGAAGCGCGGTACAGTACATGCTCCGTTTCGGCTGTCTAGGTTCGGACTTCACTAAAACGATCATAACTCCATTTCTACTCAAATTAATTATGCAAATCCAATTGCATTGGAAAGCTGACTTACGTAGGCATCGCGGTCAAGTGGTCTCCTTGAATTCTGTTGAGTATAATGTTTTTAAGCTCTTCCCAAAGTTGATGTTGCGGTATGGAACTGGTTTAAAGTTGTTTTCCTAAATTTTGGTCCATGATGCACCTTTTGACCTAAAATGACTCTTTGCACTATAACTCCATAAAAACTACGTTTTAAGACAAGAATCCACTAGAAAAATATATATAAAGTATGTAAAAAACATGTAAAATAGAGGTATATCCAATACCCATATGAAAATCCCTATACATGTGCAGTAGCAAACTATGACCAGAAAAATCAGCATAATGTTATTCTAGTCTTGACATTTCCCATTTCTCACTTAAACCTCACAATCACAAAATCAATCAAGGATAAAGTGCACAAGGGAAAAAAAAGTGTAAAAACATTTATTCGATAAATTACTGGAAAGTTTCTGATCAAGAAATCAATATTTTTTACAGGAAATAGCAAAACCGAAGCGAGAATCATACCACAGAGATGAGAATATGAAGGGTAGTAATCGTAGTCAGAATCTATAAATTGAATTATTGGGAAACATTATTCCAATTTTTCTGAGTTTCTTGATATGGAGTAAAAGAATCACTAATTGATTTTATTGGGATATTGTAGAGGTTAATGGGCCATGAGGTCTTAATCTATAGAGAGTGTGCAAGATAAAATCTCACATCAGAATTTGGGAAAAACCTTGAGCAATATATAAGGGACTGAGGCCTCTCTGCCTATTGTCAATTGGTTTTATGTTAGATGCTAAGGGAACTTAACAAAATCGTAGACAAACGTCGTTTGGTTATTGTAGAGGTTAATGGGCCATGAGGTCTTAATCTATAGAGAGTGTGCAAGATAAAATCCCACATCAGAAGTTGGGAAAAACCATGAACAATATATAAGGGACTGAGGCCTCTCTGCCTATTGTCAATTGGTTTTATGTTAGATGGTACGGGAACTTAACAGATTCGTAGACAAACGTTGTTGGTTATTGTAGAGGTTAATGGGCCATGAGGTCTTAATCTATTGAGAGTGTGCAAGATAAAATCTCACATCAAAATTTGGGAAAAACCTTGAACAATATATAAGGGACTGAGGCCTCTCCGCCTATTTTCAATTGGTTTTATGTTAGATGCTAAGGAACTTAACAGATTCGTAGACAAACGTCGTTTATGATCAACTTGAACATGCAAATTTGAAGATGAAAGAAGGATGATAATTTTCATTGCGTTAACGCGGGGATTGTAGCAGAAGATGAAGATGAAAGGACATTGATTTAATTTGTGAGATTGCCACATGTCCCCCTTTCCAGTGCTGATGTGTCAGCATGCTAGAGAGAGATAGGCAACTTTTATATATTAGATATATATATATATATATATTTTTTTTTTGTTAAAGCAAATTGGTATATCTAATTCTCTCCCTTTGGTTTAGATTCAAACTGTGATATTACAAAACCATCTTTAATTTCCTTCCAAAACCATTGACATAACTTAGGCCATCTCCAATGCAACACTAAAACACTAGACAGTAGTAATGTTTTAAACCTCTCCAACGATACAACACTGCAATAGCAATTTTAGTATTTTGCTACAATGTGTTTAGGTGACATAAACTCATCTTCTGACTTTTTCATTGGCTTCTTCTTTTTCCACCAACCTATTCTCAACAAATTATGTATATATAAATATATATATATATATATATATATATATATGGATGATATTTGCCACGTTTGAAACAAGTGCAAAGGCCAGCATTCAAAAGGTCGTAAAGAAAGAAACGAGTTTGCTCTTGATTTATTGTAAGTTTTCGTTTTTCTGTATGGGTTATTCAAGGGAAGTAACTCTCGACAATCAAACAGATACATTTGCATAAAGTTGAAGTTTGATTAAGTTCACAAACTATATAAAATAACTCTCTTAGGTCTAAAGCAAAATAGATAGTGCATTATGGGTCCAAATGGTAAGTTGGTAACTAAAGAATCTGTGTGAAGTTTCTTGTCTCTAAAGTATGACAATTCTATTTTCTCATGGATGTTTCGAAAAATTCTAAAGCTTCGTCAAAAATCTCTCTCTTTCATGCGGATATCAATTGGTAATAGAGAAAACACCTTCTTTTCGTGGGATCCGTGAATTCCATCTGGTTCACTAATCCACTACTTAGGACAGCAAGGTCCTGCTCTTATGGGCATTCCAGGAGACGCTTTAGTAAGAGATCGTATCTCGGCAGAGGGTTGAATGCTTTCTGTTTTGGCATTTTGAATCTGTGAATTTTTAATGAACCTACCGCACTTGTTGATTCTATTAGATCAAGTATTTATATCGAGCATGAGTTTCTATTCTAATTAGAATGTATTGAGCCTATGAATCCATTTTCTCTTTTTCTTTTGATTCAATAATGTCATCTGGAGGTTCTATCTTACATATCTTCCCTGGTTATAAGTCGCACTAATGATACACAACTTTGGCAGGTGGATGATCGAATCTGTTCAAAGTTTAATTCAAAGGAAATATGGGGAAAAATCAGATCAATCAAGCCGGAGGTTTCTTGGTACTCCCTGGTTTGGAAGAAAGTGGCGATACCGAAACATACGACATCAACATGGTTGTTTGTTCTTCATAGGAATCCTACTTTATCTCGCCTTTCTTCTTAGGGTTTGGATGTGGTAGACACTTGTGTTCTTTGTGGTGTCGACCAGGAAACAAGAGCTCATCTGTTTTTTTGAGTGCTCCTACTCTAAGCAGATTTGCTTACATATTATCCATAGTGATGTACTCAACATTTTCAAACATTTAGCGTCACACTTTGCATGGTTTTGTATGTCTTTGAGTCTCATTTCATACCATTTAGTGTGAGTTTCATCTAACTTTAGAAAATTTAGCTTTTAACATGGCATTTTGCATTTGCATTACATTTGGAGTATGTTTCTCAGGTGATCAGAGTTGGAAGCAAAGGAGACAGACGCGGGTGATGGTCAAAGACAAGCCAGAAGCTGATCAGAGTTCAAGGTGTTTTAAGGAGCTCACAGAACAGATGACTTGGTGATCGCGGGATCAGGTCTTCCCAATTCCTATCCCTTATTCTGCAAGTGCAGAGGTTACAAGTAGTAACGGGTATCAAACACAAGGACCAGATTACACACTACAATGTATGGGTTCTAGATTAGCTAGGGACAAAGTATAGAGTTGATTGGATTGTAGGTAAACTAAATAAATAATGAAAGCAAGAATGCAAGTAAAACGAGGTTAAAGCAATAAGGAGGAGAAAGCTAAGCAATAGGATAATCTCTAGATAAGTAATTCAAGCAGCAAGTTCGATTGATTAGAGTTACTAAGAGTTGGTACCATCTAGAACTCAAGACACTAATGTATGATCTTTCCACTGTCGTGGCTCCAACCCCTTGTTAATCTGTCTAATCGCTAAACTTGTCGTATGTCATTAGATGATTAAATCAAGCATTAATTCGAATGAGTCTCAATCGTCCACAGCCTTGATGATAGGATTTGTGTGTGTGATGTGAAATATGAAATGATATGAGGTGGAATGCAACAGTGGTAAATGAAGATGGGATGGTATGGTGCAAACACAATCACAATCAATCAATTCCCCTTAACCATCATAGTCATTGAGTATAAGGGGTATCAATCCATAAGGGTGAAATTGTTACTCTATGAACTTATGCAAACACAAGAAAGTCAAGCCAAATGATTAAAAAGGGGGAATGTAACAACTAAACAACCTAAGGAAATGAAATGCAGTGCAATAAATGAAAGGAAAGCAGTAAAGCAAACAGCTCGACCAAGGACTCGATCGAGTGGGAACAGAGTAAAGGCAGGATCTTTAACAAGCTAATGCGAATAGTAGGGTCTAAGACAGGGTCTTACAATAGGGGAAGACTATACTTAATCAATCTTGCTCTCAAACAACTTGTATCAAGGTATCTCTTGATATTGAGCTTCTCAATGCCTAGCTAGCCCTTTCCCAAGGTGAAAGCTATCATCCAAGACATGATCTCAGAAACAGGGGGTTAGCCAGTGAGAGTCAAGCCTTGGAGGCAGTAGGATCATTGCTCAAACTAATCCATCCAACACCTATGAACTCCATTTCGAGAGCAAGGTTTATTGGAGCTCTTAGTGGACCTTTTCAAGCGATTTCCCAACACTTCCATGTGGAAAATCGCCTATGACATACAAGCCAGGGATAGTGGTCATGTAGCCTTAAGGTTTGTCCAAAAGAGAGAGATTTCTAGATTAAGATCATAAGCAAAAGAGATTAAGCATAAGATCCCCTAATCTAGCCCATCTTGGACCCTAAAGGAACTACTCACTACACATGAATGAAAACACAATCAAATGCAATGAAGAATACATTAAACAAAAGAGGGAAAGAAACTAAAGAACTTTTATTGAAATAAGCAAGTGCAAATACAAAGCAAATAAACCTAGATCTAAGGTTCAAGAGCATGAAGCTCAAGAACACAAAGAGAGGTTTAGGGTTGCTAAAAGGTAAAGATACAAAATTAAAGAAAAGAAAAACTAAAAGTAAGCTAAAGATTGTTGTCTTTTTCGTGGCTTAGAGCCTTTAAATACAAAGGAGATTAGGTTTAGGGTCAAAGGGAAGTCAAGGGGGAAGCAACATTTTTCGGGTTTGACTGTTGACTCTCAGCTCGATCGAGCTTGCTGTTGTTGAGGATAACCTGGTCCTGAGGGTTAGCAACATCAGTGTTTCTGTATGACATGGCTGGGTTGGACTTGTAATTATAGTATCCTTTGTTGTAACCTCCTTGCCCATTGCTCATGTAACATACTTCAGCAAATTGTGTATCCTCCCCTTCTTGGACTGGTTCCATCTCTTCAGCAGACACAAAATTGACTTTCTTCATTGTGGACTGAGCTAAGATCAGCTTATCCAACTTCTCATTCAACGATTTGACATCTTTTCTCAATTTCTCATGACTCGATCGAGTGGTGGGTCGAGCTCCGGTTGGTGCGATCATACTCTTCTCCATAGCTTCCATTGGAGTTTGCAATGTTTTCCACAAGCTGCCAGCCATCATCCACATCCTGATTAAGGAAGTTCCCATTGCTGGCTGTGTCCAACATCTCTCTATACCTTGCCAAGCACCTCTATAAAGAGTAGAGAGCAAAGACTCATTGTTGAAGCCATGATGTGGGCACTGACTTGTGTAGCCTTGAACCTCTCCCAAGCCTCAGCAAAAGTCTCATTGTTCCTCTATATGAAGCTCGAATCTCACTCCTTAGCTTGGCTGTGCGACCGGTGGAGAAAAACTTAGCAAGAAAGGCCTTCTTGCATTCATCCCAAGTGGTGATTGTGCCATGGGGCAAGCTCTTCTCCCATTGGTGAGCCTTGTCAGCAAGAGACATAGGGAAGAGTCTCAGCTTGATGGCATCTTCAGAGACACCATTGATCTTGGTCAAAGTCACATAACCTATCAAACTCATCAAGGTGATCAATGGGGTCTTCACTTGGCAATCCATGGAACATCTTGTTCTGCACAAGGTTGATCATACCCAGCTTGATCTCAAAGTTGTGGTTCTGACAGGTGGTGGGACAATCCCTTGTCTTTGTTGATGGCGGTTTGGAGCATCTCCTAGACCAATCGGTCGAGGTTGCCTAGCTCGACCGAGTCCATTACCCTCTGGTACATCCATGGTTTCAGTAACAAGCACCTCAGGTTCCACTTGTACCCTCTGAGTTCTGACTTCTCTTTCTACCCGTGGTGAAATCTAGCTCGACCAAGTCTTCTGTTGTTCGACTCGATCGAGTTCGCATACACCTGCAAAAAGAATCAAAAACCCAGCAATACAAAGAACAGGGGTGGGATAGCTTGATCGTCCAAGTGTATTGGAAACTCAAATGCAACAATATTCAACCCAAATGGCAACGGCGCCAAATTGATGATAGGATTTGTGTGTGTGATGTGAAATATGAAATGATATGAGGTGGAATGCAACAGTGGTAAAAGATGGGATGGTATGGTGCAAACACAATCACAATCAATCAATTCCCTTAACCATCATAGTCATTGAGTATAAGGGGTATCAATCCATAAGGGTGAAATTGTTACTTATGAACTTATGCAAACACAAGAAAGTCAAGCAAAAGTAAAAAGGGGGAATGTAACAACTAAACAACCTAAGGAAATGAAATGCAGTGCAATAAATAAAGAAAGCAGTAAAGCAAACAGCTCGACCAAGGACTCGATCGAGTGGGAACAGAGTAACCAGCTCGATCGAGTTGAGGGTCGAGTTAGCGTAAAAAGCGATAAAGGCAGAACTTTAACAAGCTAATGCGAATATTAGGGTCTAAGACAGGGTCTTACAATAGGGAAGGACTATACTTAATCAATCTTGCTCTTAAACAACTTGTATCAAGGTATCTCTTGATATTGAGCTTCTCAATGCCTAGCTAGCCCTTTCCCAAGGTGAAAGCTATCATCCAAGACATGATCTCAGAAACAGGGGGTTAGTGATGATAGGATTTGTGTGTGGTGTGAAGATATGATATGAAATGTGGTGGAATGCAACAGTGGTATATGATGAGGTGGTAAGATGCAAACACAAACACATCAACAATTCCCTTAACCATCATAGTCATTATAGTATAAGGGTTATCAATCCAAAATGGGAATTGTCACTCTATGAGAATATGAAACAACAAGGAAGTCAAGCAAGCAGTAATGAATGGGGTAACACTAACAACCTAATGAAAAAAATGCAATGCAGTAAAAGTAAATAAAGCAGTAGAGCAACAGCTCGACCAAGGACTCGAGTCGAGTGGAACAGAGTACCGAGCTCGATCGAGTTTAGGGTCGAGTTGAAGTAAAAAGCTAAAGGCAGCGACTTTAACAAGCTAAGCGAAATTAGGGTTCAAGACAGGGTTTTGCAATCAGAGGAAGCTACACTTAATCAATCTTGTATCAAGGTTCTCTTGATATTGGGCTTCTCAATGCCTAGCCAACCCTTTCCCAAGGTGAAAGCTATCAACCAAGGAATGATCTCAGAAACAGGGGGTTAGCCAGTGAGAATCAAACCTTGGAGGCCATAGGATCATTGCCCAAACTAATCCATCCAACCCCTTAGACTCCATTTCTAGAGCAAGAGATATTGGAGCTCTTAGTGGACTTTTCCAGCGATTTCCATCACTTCCATGTGGAGAATCGCCTAAGGACATACAAGCCAGGGGTAGTGGTCATGTAGCCTTAAGATTTCCAAAAGAGAGAGAATCTAGATTAAGACCATAAGCAAGAAGGATTAAGCATATGAAACCTCTAATCTATCCCATCTCAAACCCTAATGGGTAACTACTCACTACACATGAATGTAAACACAAGCAAATGCAATAAAAGAGACATCATAAGAAAGAGGAGATGAAATAAACAACTTTTATTGAAATAAGCAAGTGCAAATACAAAAGATTATCCAGGATCTAGGATTCAAGAAGCAAGAGCTTCAAGAACACAAAGATGGATTAGAGCTCTAAAAAGTAAAAGACAATAAATTAAAGAAACTAAAACAAAATAATCTAAAGCTTGGTGGTTTTTTCGTGGCTTTTAGCCTTTAAATACAAGAGGATTAGGTTTAGGGTCAAAGGAAGTCAAGGGGGAAGCAACATTTTTCGGGTTTGACTTTGACTTCTCAGCTCGATCGAGTTGAAGCTTGGCCGGTCGAGTTGAGGAACTCGACCGGTTGGTCGGTCGAGCTGGTCTTCAAGATGGCTTCCTCCTTCTTCCTTTGCGTATCCAGTTGAGCTGCGTCCATGCCAAGTCCTCCATGCTCCTCACGTCCCATATGCTCCAGAATGCTCCAAAAGACCTATTTCAAAGGACCAAACATGCATATGTATGCAAATGCAACCTAAAACTACATGAATGCATAAGAAGAGAAAAGGAACAAGATATGATGCTAATGGATGCTAAAACTATGCAAAAGATGCATAAAAGATGTACTAAAACTATGTAAAATGCAAGTACATCAACACCCCCAAACTTGACCTTTGCTTGCCCTCAAGCAAACAAATAGAACAAGAAAGAGATGAGGTTTGAAAACAAGTTGATTCAACACTTAAAAACATGTCCTCAAAAGCGATTTGCTAAATGTCCAACTTAGAGATTCTAGAATGCAACAAGGTGAGAGATATTCATTAAGATTTAACCATGCTTATCAACATCAATCCCACTTCACAGTCACTCAAACAATGCATTCAAATCAGCAAATCCCTTTAACATTCATTAAGCAAAAACAGTGAACCAAAAACATGCAAGATCAATCAACTCATTTGGTTTCAAGGGTTTATGGGTTAAGAGACAAAGAGGGTCTCTTTTGTATGGTGGTTTAGTAACAGGGATCTCTCAAGAAAGTGGCTTTGCTTTGGCAGAAGGCTAAGTGTTAGAACCAAAGATGATGCAAGAACAGCAGCTCGAGCCGCCTAATCCTAACTCGATCGAGTTCAACACTTAGAGCTTTTTAGAACAAAATCCTAACTACCCTTTTTGGCATTTCGCCTTTGAAACTGAGGAGCTTTGCTCACTTTTCTTTTAAGAACATCCTAGGGAGAGGCTTCTTGAGGTAACATCTAGCGGTTTGGGATTTTCTAAACACTTAGGGAACTTTTCTTTTCTTTTTGACACTTGAGGCTTTGCCTTCTTTTCTTTCTACTTAGAACCCTTTTTACTTCCTTTTTTAACTTCCCAAACCTTTACTAGACCCTTTTTAACACTGCCAACTCCCTGGACTTAACTAAACTCTTTTTCCTTTGGATTTTCCCAACTTTTACCACTTTTCTGGTTTTTACACCCAACTCGATCGAGCTCGAGTTGGCACCCCCAAACTTAGCCTGAAAACAATCCCAAGAGAACTAGACAACTAGAACTACTGCCCCTGCCGGTTTAAACACAACACCTTATGCTAAGCAAAGCCAAGAAAGGTTCTCACAATCGCACAAGAGATAATATGGGGTTTGAAATGAAAAAGGCTTAGGTTTAAGGTGTGGTAACTGTCTCAAAGATGGAGATCAGCTATCTGGACAAGCAAGAGGGATATGAAAATAGGTAAAGAATGTCCAGATATGTATGTGGTAGCCATGAGTTGAAATCAAATGCAAGCATTGGTAATTAAAGATCAAGTTATGGTTCAAATAGATAGGGAAATGCATCAAATCACAGCAATGGTTGAATGAGATGTGCATGCAGTGATATGATCAAGATAAACATGGTTCTTGCTGCTCAATCAATCTCACCCTAATGCACAAAAGAATCTAAAAACAGGGCACTCAAGAAATCGCAAATGATGAACAAGTTTTCAAATCAAATCAACAATGCAAGTGAAAGATGCAATCCTAAACAATTCTAACAAATATGAATGCAAAAAGATGAAAATATTTTTGGATTTTTTAAAATTTTTATGTTTTTTTGGTTTTTGTATGCAAATACAGTAGAACCTCTATAAAACAATACTCGATAAAACAATAAACATTATAAGATAATATTTTTCTCCGGTCCCAACTCGGGCCAGTGTAAAAAGTAGCATAATGCGATAAGATGATAAGACAATAATATTTTTGAAACTCTTATGTAAAAATATAATCCCAACAATAAGCTAAGATAATAATTATAAAACTAATGCATATATATCTAAGACAATTTAGTAAAATATGACTCCAATGTAGTTTGTCTTTTCTGAAAATTGGATTCCCGTTGGAGCTCATCTCGAATTTTTCTTATTGCATCTACAATTTCTGTAGGTGTATTCTCAACATGCAACCAAAAGTTGTGAAGAGTTCTCGCCACAATTGCAATTGCATCCTTACGTGTAACTACTTGCACATGTCCTTCCTCATCATCTTCAACTTCATCTTCACCATTAAGAACAGTAGACATAATTTTTCTATAGACTTTGAACTTCTGAGCATAAAATATGTAAATAACAAAGTATAAGGAAAATTTGAATAAAAAAGTCTGAAAAAAATATATTTCTATAAAGTTTCTTGTTTTGATAGAATATTTCTATAAAATAATAATTATTTTTTATCGATAAAATAATAATTATTGTTTTATCGATAAAATAATATTATTGTTTTATCGATAAAATAATTATTATTGTTTTATCGATAAAATAATTATTATTGTTTTTATCGATAAAATAATAACTCTATAAGATAATAAAATTTCAAAGTCCCAACATTATTGTTTTATAGAGGTTTTACTGTAGATGGATGAAAAACTAAGAACAAAGAAAGCAAGGTTAAATCATCTCTTGAACCCTCCCCCAAACTTAAATCACACAGTCCCTTGTGTCAGACAAATTTAGTGAAAGATTCAAGAGGGAAAAACCAAGAAAAGTAAAAAAAAATGCAAGAAAATATGATATGGTATTTACAAGGGTTGATGTTTGATACCTCAGTGCCCCCCAAAGAGCTGGGAGGCAAGGTCGTGGTCATGAGAGGGCAGACGGCCGTCAAGGGCACTCCATTCGACCGGGTCTATGTAGCTTGATCGAGCTTGATCGCGGCTCGATCGAGTTGTGCCTCGAGTTGTTCGCCTCTTCTTCCTAAGAACCTTTTCCTGCAAGACTTAGCTAAGAAAAACGCAGAGATAAAAGATAGAAGCGATATGTACAAGATAGACATGGGAATTCCTCCTAAGTGAGCTTGTTTTAGGTCTCATAGCTTGACCTTAAACCTTTTAGGCAGGGTCGGATCTTGGAGAGGAGTGATGATCTCCTCTGTGGGGGTCATTCCTAGGTAGGGCTTGCATCTATGTCCCATTTACTGTGAATTCCTTCCCCTCTTGGTTGAGCAGAGTGAGTGATCCATTAGGTAGAACTTAATGTATTTTGAATGGCCCCGACCACTTTGAACTCAACTTCCCGGGGAACAACCTTAACTTGGAGTTAAACAAGAGCACACTGTCCCCAACCTTGAAGTCTTTAAGGCGGATCAGTTTGTCGTGGGCTGCCTTTGTTCTCAACTTATAAATCATGGAGTTCTCATAGGCATTCATTCTGATTTCCTCCAACTCAAACAAGTTCATTACCCTCCTTTCTTGTGCTGCCTTTATGTCAAAGTTCAGCATCTTTACTGCCCATAAAGCCTTGTATTCGACCTCCACATGCAAGTGGCAATCTTTTCCATATAGCAAGTTGAAAGGGGACCTGCCAATGGGGGTTTTGTAAGCTTTCCTGTAAGCCCATAGTGCTTCATCAAGTCTTGTTGACCAATCCTTTCTAGTGAAGCTCACAGTCTTCTCCAATATAGCCTTAATCTGTCTGTTAGAGACTTCAACTTGCCCACTGATGATAGGATTTGTGTGTGGATGTGAAAAGATATGAGATGAGATGTGTGGAATGCAATCAGTGGTATATGATGAGGTGGTAAGATGCAAACACAAACACAGTCAACAATTCCCTTTAACCATGATAGTTGATGTAGTACAAAGGGTTATCAATCCAAAATGGGAAAACTTGTCACTCTATGAGAATATGAAACAACCAGGAAGTCAAGCAAGCAGTTAATAGATTTTTGGTAACACTAGCAACCTAAATGAAACAGAAATGAAATGCAGAAAGTAAATAAAGCAGTAAACAAGCGGCTCGACCAATGACTCGAGTCGAGTAGGAACAGAGTACCAAGCTCGATCGAGTTGAGGGTCGAGTTAGCAGAAAAACAGTAAAGGCAGACGACTTTAATAAACTAGAGAGAGAATTAGGGTTCAAGACAGGGTTTTGCAATCAAAGGAAACTACACTTAATCATCCAGCTCTTAAAACTCCTTGTATCAAGGCTTCTCTTGATATTGGGCTTCTCAATGCCTAGCCAACCCTTTCCCAAGGTGAAGGTATCAACCAAGGAATGATCTCAGAAACAGGGGGTTAGCCAGTGAGAATCAAACCTTGGAGGCCATAGGATCATTGCCCAAACTAATCCATCCAACCCCTTAGACTCTATTTTCTAGAGCAAGAGATATTGGAGCTCTTAGTGGATCTTTTCCAGCGAATGCCATCACTTTCGTGTGGGGAATCGCCTAAGGACTTACAAGCCAGGGGTAGTGGTCATGTAGCCTTAAGATCTATATGCATGTTTGGTCCTTTGAAATAGGTCTTTTGGAGCATTTGTTTGTTTGTTTTCGCGTTCTACAGATGAGGTATACAAAACCCTAAACCACAAAATTTGTAAAAAAACATGAACCAAATATCAATTTTGTTTGCCATTTACAATATTTATGGTTTGGATAACATAACAATTAAATATAGACAAAAAAACCAACCAAAAACAAAAATACAAATTGAAACTATCTAAACCCTAAGAATTGGACAACTAAACCCTGAACTATCTATCCAAACTCTTATCAATTTGAAACATTTACTCATGACATTTATAGACTGATTCATTTTTCGTATAATTTATTTTCAATAGATGTCAAATGTATAAGAATTAATTATGCATACAAGTTTTTTATCAAATTATTTTTTATCAATTCTCAAAATTATTTTTANATAAAATAATAATTATTGTTTTATCGATAAAATAATAATTATTGTTTTATCGATAAAATAATAACTCTATAAGATAATAAAATTTCAAAGTCCCAACATTATTGTTTTATAGAGGTTTTACTGTAGATGGATGAAAAACTAAGAACAAAGAAAGCAAGGTTAAATCATCTCTTGAACCCTCCCCCAAACTTAAATCACACAGTCCCTTGTGTGAGAGAAATTTAGTGAAAGATTCAAGAGGGAAAAACCAAGAAAAGTAAAAAAAAATGCAAGAAAATATGAAATGGTATTTACAAGGGTTGATGTTTGATACCTCAGTGCCCCCCAAAGATCTGGGAGGCAAGGTCGTGGTCATGGAGAGGGCAGACGGCCGTCAAGGGCACTCCACTCGACCGGGTTCGTGCTCGATCGAGCTTGATCGGGCTCGATCGAGTTGTGCCTCGAGTTGGTTGCCTCTTCTTCCTAAAACCTTTTCCTGCAAGACTTAGCTGAAGAAAAACGCAGAGATAAAAGATAAGAAAGCGATATGTACAAGATAGACATGGGAATTCCTCCCAAGTGAGCTTGTTTTAGGTCTCATAGCTTGACCTTAAACCTTTTAGGCAGGGTCGGATCTTGAAGAGGAGTGATGATCTCCTCTGTGGGGGTCATTCCTAGGTAGGGCTTGCATCTATGCCCATTTACTGTGAATTCTTTCCCCTCTTGGTTGAGCAGAGTGAGTGATCCCGTAGGGTAGAACTCATGTATCTTAATGGCCCCGACCACTTTGACTCAACTTCCCGGGAAACAACCTAACTTGGAGTTAAACAAGAGCACACTGTCCCCAACCTTGAAGTCTTTTAGGCGAATCAGTTTGTCGTGGGCTGCCTTGTTCTCATCTTGTAAATCATGGAGTTCTCATAGGCATTCATTCTGATTTCCTCCAACTCAAACAAGTTCATTACCCTCCTTTCTTGTGCTGCCTTTATGTCAAAGTTCAGCATCTTTACTGCCCATAAAGCCTTGTATTCGACCTCCACAGGCAAGTGGCAATCCTTCCCATATAGCAAATTGAAAGGAGACCTTCCAATGGGGGTTTTGTAAGCTGTTCCTATAAGCCCAAAGTGCTTCATCAAGTCTTGTTGACCAATCCTTTCTAGTGAAGCTCACAGTCTTCTCCAATATAGCCTTAATCTGTCTGTTAGAGACTTCAACTTGCCCACTGATGATAGGATTTGTGTGTGGATGTGAAAAGATATGAGATGAGATGTGTGGAATGCAATCAGTGGTATATGATGAGGTGGTAAGATGCAAACACAAACACAGTCAACAATTCCCTTTAACCATGATAGTTGATGTAGTACAAAGGGTTATCAATCCAAAATGGGAAAACTTGTCACTCTATGAGAATATGAAACAACCAGGAAGTCAAGCAAGCAGTAATAGATTTTTGGTAACACTAGCAACCTAAATGAAACAGAAATGAAATGCAGAAAGTAAATAAAGCAGTAAACAAGCGGCTCGACCATGACTCGAGTCGAGTAGGAACAGAGTACCAAGCTCGATCGAGTTGAGGGTCGAGTTAGCGAGAAAAACAGTAAAGGCAGAGACTTTAATAAACTAGAGAGAGAATTAGGGTTCAAGACAGGGTTTGCAATCAAAGGAAACTACACTTAATCCATCCAGCTCTTAAAACTCCTTGTATCAAGGCTTCTCTTGATATTGGGCTTCTCAATGCCTAACCAACCCTTTCCCAAGGTGAAGGTTATCAACCAAGGAATGATCTCAGAAACAGGGGGTTAGCCAGTGAGAATCAAACCTTGGAGGCTATAGGATCATTGCCCAAACTAATCCATCCAACCCCTTAGACCTCTATTTTCTAGAGCAAGAGATATTGGAGCTCTTAGTGGATCTTTTCCAGCAATTGCCATCACTTTCGTGTGGGGAATCGCCTAAGGACTTACAAGCCAGGGGTAGTGGTCATGTAGCCTTAAGATCTATATGCATGTTTGGTCCTTTGAAATAGGTCTTTTGGAGCATTTGTTTGTTTGTTTTCGCGGTCTACAACTGAGGTCTACATAACCCTAAACCACAAATTTTATAAAAAAACATGAACCAAATATCAAATTTTGTTTGCCATTTACAATATTTATGGTTTGGATAACATAACAATTAAATATAGACAAAAAAACCAACCAAAAACAAAAATACAAATTGAAACTATCTAAACCCTAAGAATTGGACAACTAAACCCTGAACTATCTATCCAAACTCTTATCAATTTGAAACATTTACTCATGACATTTATAGACTGATTCATTTTTCGTATAATTTATTTTCAATAGATGTCAAATGTATAAGAATTAATTATGCATACAAGTTTTTTATCAAATTATTTTTTATCAATTCTCAAAATTATTTTTAAGATTTCATTTTCCTGTACACCTCGTTGTTAGACCGCTCACGGTTTTGCAAGTTTCTAACCTAATTTGTTTTTGTCAACCTAAATTAACTTATTACCATGTATGTTTACTTTATATGGACTCTAATTGTCTTTGTCTTGTTTATGAATACAAATTTTTCATCTAAATATTTTCTATTTATTTTATAAATTAAAAGTTTCATTTAATTAATCCGTAGACCTCTTCTTATGCATTCATAGTAGTTTTAGGTTGCATTTGCATACATATGCATGTTTGGTCCTTTGAAATAGGTCTTTTGGAGCATTCTGGAGCATATGGGACGTGAGGAGCATGGAAGGACTTGGTGCATGGACGCAGCTCAACTGGATACGCAAAGGAAGAAGGAGGAAGCCATCTTGAAGACCAGCTCGACCACTACTCGACCAACCGGTCGAGTTCCTCAACTCGACCGGCCAAGCTTCAACTCGATCGAGCTGGAAGTCAAAGTCAAACCCGAAAAATGTTGCTTCCCCCTTGACTTCCTTTGACCCTAAACCTAATCCTCTTTGTATTTAAAGGCTAAAAGCCACGAAAAAACCACCAAGCTTTAGATTACTTTTGTTTTAGCTTTCTTTTTAATTATTGTCTTTTACTTTTTAGAGCTCTAATCCATCTTTGTGTTCTTGAAGCTCTTGCTTCTTGAATCCTAGATCCTGGATAATCTCTTTTGTATTTGCACTTGCTTATTTCAATAAAAGTTGTTTATTTTATCTCCTCTTTCATTTGATGTCTTTTTATTGCATTTGCTTGTGTTTACATTCATGTGTAGTGAGTAGTTACCCATTAGGGTTTGAGATGGGATAGATTAGGGGATTTCATATGCTTAATCCTTCTTGCTTATGGTCTTAATCTAGATTCTCTCTCTTTTGGATAAATCTTAAGGCTACATGACCACTACCCCTGGCTTGTATGTCATTAGGCGATTCTCCACATGGAAGTGATGGAAATCGCTGGAAAATATCCACTAAGAGCTCCAATAACTCTTGCTCTCGAAATGGAGTTCATAGGGGTTGGATGGATTAGTTTGGGCAATGATCCTATGGCCTCCAAGGTTTGATTCTCACTGGCTAACCCCCTGTTTCTGAGATCATTCCTTGGTTGATAGCTTCACCTTGGGAAAGGGTTAGCTAGGCATTGAGAAGCCCAATATCAAGAGAACCTTGATACAAGGAGTTTTAAGAGCAGATTGATTAAGTGTAGTTCCCTGATTGTAAAACCCTGTCTTGAACCCTAATTCTCGCTTTAGCTTGTTAAAGTCGCTGCCTTTATTGCTTTTTACTTCAACTCGACCCTAAACTCGATCGAGCTCGGTACTCTGTTCCACTCGACTCGAGTCCTTGGTCGAGCTGTTGCTCTACTGCTTTATTTACTTATTGCATTCATTACTGTTCATTTAGGTTGTTAGTGTTACCCCATATCTATTACTGCTTGCTTGACTTCCTTGTTTTTCATATTCTCATAGAGTGAGTACTTCCCCATTTTGGATTGATACCCTTTATGCTATAACACTATCATGGTTAAAGGGAATTGTTGACTGTGTTGTGTTTGCATCTTACCACCTCATCATTTACCACTGTTGCATTCCACCACATTCATTTCATATCTTTCACACCCACACACAAATCCTATCATCAATTTGGCGCCGTTGCCGATTTGGGTTATTTTTTTGCATTTGAGTTTCAAATACACTTGGACGATCAAGCTATACCACCCCTGTTCTATTGTACTGCTGGGTTTTTGTCTCTTTTTGCAGGTGTATGCGAACTCGATCGAGTCGGTCTACAGAAGACTTGGTCGAGCTAGACTTACAACGGGTAGAAAGAGGGTTCAGAGGTCACAGAGGGTACAAGAGGAACCTGAGGTGCTTGTTGCTGATACAATGGATGTACCAGAGGGGAATGGAAACCCTTTGGGCAATACTACTCTCGGTCGAGCTAGGCAAACTCGACCGATTGGTCTAGGAGATGCTCCAAACCGCCACCAACAGAGACAAGGGATTGTTCCACCACCAGTGCAGAACCACAACTTTGAGATCAAGCTGGGAATGATCAACCTTGTTCAGAACAAGATGTTCCATGGATTGCCAAGTGAAGACCCCATTGACCACCTTGATGAGTTTGATAGGCTTTGTGATTTGACAAAGATCAATGGTGTCTCTGAAGATGCCATCAAGCTGAGACTCTTTCCTATGTCTCTAGCTGACAAAGCTCACCAATGGGAGAAGAGCTTGCCCCATGGCACAATCACCACTTGGGATGAATGCAAGAAGGCCTTTCTTGCTAAGTTTTTCTCCACCGGTCGCACAGCCAAGCTTAGGAGGAGATATCGAGCTTCATACAGCGAAACAATGAGACATTCGCAGAGGCTTGGGAGAGGTTCAAAGGCTACACAAGTCAGTGCCCACATCATGGATTCAACAATGAATCACTACTCTCCACTCTTTATAGAGGATGCTTGCAAGGTATAGGGAGATGCTAGACACAGCCAGCAATGGGAACTTCCTCAACCAGGATGTGGATGATGGCTGGCAGCTTGTGGAGAACATGCAACTCCAATGGAAGCTATGGAGAAGAGTATGATCGCACCAATCGGAGCTCGACCCACCACTCGATCGAGTCAGATGAGAAATTGAGAAAAGATGTTAAGGCATTGAATGAGAAGTTGGATAAGCTGATCTTAGCTCAGTCCACAATGAAGAAAGTCAACTTTGTGTCTGCTGAAGAGATGGAACCAGTCCAAGAAGGGGAGGATACACAATTTGCTGAAGTGTGTTACATGAGCAATGGGCAAGGAGGTTACAACAAAGGATACTATAATTACAAGTCCAACCCTGCCATGTCATACCGCAACACTGATGTTGCTAACCCTCAGGACCAGGTCTATCCTCAACACAAGCTCGATCGAGTCAAGCCCACAACATGGGTATGGTCAAAAGAACAATTACCAAGGACCCCAAGGGACTTTTCCTGGTCAACAAATGAACATACCACCTGGCTTTCCCCACCAACCACCCCAGCCTGCACCTACGCAAGAGAATGAGCTCAAGGCAATGCTAAAGCAACTTGCTTCAAGGGCAAGCTGATGGGGTAGTGGACACAAGCAAGAAGCTAGCTGAAATCAAACTCCAAGATCGAGAATCTCAACACAAGAGTTTACTCTCTGGAGAATCATGCTTCTTCTGTTGCTGCTGCTACAAAGCAAGGACAACTACCTGGTAAAGCTATTCAGAACCCCAAGGAACAGTGCAAGGTCATCTTCACTCAAGAAGGACTTGTGAAGAAGAGGATCAAGAGAGAGTCATGGAAGAGTTTTGTTTACTGCTGAATGATGATGAGATTGTTGCTGCTGAGGCTCCTGGAGTCCAGATTGATCAACCAGAAGTGCAGGCACCTACTGTGGCCATTCACACTTCACCAGTTGAGCTCGCACAACAAGCTCGATCGGCAGCTCGATCGAGTCGACATCTAGCTCGATCGAGTCCGACCTCATCTGTCCCAAAGCCGATTTTGCTTGATCCTTACCAACCGGTTGACACTTCCTCGTCTCGCCTACTTAGTCAAGGGCACAAGGAAGTGATTCACAAGTTCAGAAGAGATCTTAGTGGGATTGGAATTGAGTTGCCTCCTATGGAAAGCATGAGTGAGGCATTTGATCAAATGCAAATGGTCAAGGATGTTATGCCAACATTGATAAAGTTTCAGAGGTTCTAAGGAGTCTACTCATCAGTTCAACCTGCTTACTTCACCCACTTTCCTACCAAAGGTCAAGGATCAAGGGAAATTCACTCTCCCTTGCACACTTGGGCATCTTGAGCTTGACAATGCCTTGGTGGATTCTGGAGCAAGCATCAATCTGATCTCTCTCTCAATGGCAGAGAAGCTAGGCATTGCTGGAGCCTTGCAGCGCCCTACTACTTCAATCATGTTTGGAGATGCAACTTCTAAGTCTCCTCTTGGTGTTCAAGAACTATCACTTGAAAATTGGAGAATGCATCATCCAAACTGATCTTACTGTCATGGAGATGGAAGAAGAGAAGGATCTACCTCTGTTATTGGGAACCCCATTCCTTAGTACAACCCCATTCCTTAGTACAGTTGGCGCTTCAATAGACTTTCACAAGCAAGAGGTGATTCTTCACAAGGTGAATAGTTTGGTGTCATATCGCTTGCAGCCTAGACCTGATAGACTTATTCAAGCCCCTTGTGTGCTTGATGAAGAGAGCTACAAGCTTTGTTTGATGAGCCACTAGGAAGGGCTCTAAAAGAAGGGGAGGATGTAGCCTCTAAGGCAAGACCAGGTGATAAAAGAAAGGAACCAGCTCAGGCCCCTTCATTCAAGACATCTCAGCTCACAATGACTTTGTTCCCCACCAAGTTTGAAAATGGGAAGATTGCGTACAAGATAAGGTACAAGAGGAGATCAAGGCCATTCTCTAGAGCCAAAGCCTTGGTGACTTCAGAACAGTCCAGGGACCCAACCAAGCTAAAGGAGCTTCTGTCTCAAGTCCTCACTATTACCCTTGATGGTGGGACTAGCTCAACCAATGCCTAAAGAGGTAAAGGTCAAGCTATGGGACCTTAAACAAGCTCACTTGGGAGAAAGTCCCATGTTTATCCCTCTACATATTCTATTATTGCAATTTCTACCTAATTTCGTGTCTTTAACCTTTCAATAAGTTAAGTTTAGGTGACAAAGGAGCCAGCTCGACCGACAGCTCGATCGAGCTAGAAACAAGGGCAACTCGATCGAGTTCCACAACTCGACCGAGGTAAGATTTTGAAATTCGAAATTTCTAACTATTTCCTTGGTCAAGGGGGTGGGTCCCACAAGTAAATTTTGGTCCCCCACTACCCTAAATCGATCAGAAAAACCCCTAGCTTTTGTCCCCTCTTTAATTCACCTTTTAATCTCAACCACACATCTCAAACAATCCCTCTTCCCCATAACTCGATCGAACCAACATCTCTCTCTCTCCTACAATCTTAAAAATTCTGACAATCATCCATCTCTCTCTTCACCCTTTGAGAAATCTGAAATTCCCTCTTTCTCTCTTAAGTTTTTCGATTGTTCATTGTTCATCATCTTGTTTTGCTTTAGTTCTAGCCACTGTGATTCTTCCATCATTCAAGCAAGGTATGAACCCTAAAACCCTTGAATCCTTCATCTCGATTCCTCTCCATTACTTGTTTCCTCATTGATTTTTGTTTCATGTATCCCTTGTGAACTTGTTCTTGAATCATTGCTTTCTTTGTTGCCTCCTATCTATATAGTCTTGTGAATTTGCCTCACCTCACCTCTGTTTTGACTTTAAACTTGTTGCATGTCTTGAATCCTTTGAATTTGAGTTTTGTTCATACCTTGCTTGAATGATGGAAGAATCACAGTAGCTAGAACTAAAGCAAAACAAGATGATGAACAATGAAAATCGCAAAAACTTAAGAGAGAAAGAGGAATTCGATTTCTTGTGGTGAAGAGAGAGATGGATGATTTCAGAAATTTTAAGATTGTGGGAGAGAGAGAGAGTGGGTTCGATCGAGTTATGGGGAAGAGGGAGTGTTTGAGATGTGTGGTTGAGGATTAAAAGATGGTTTAAAGAGGGGACAAAAGCTAGGGTTTTTGATCGAATTTAGGGAAGTGGGGGACCAAAATTACTTGTGGGACCCACTCCCTTGACCAAGGAAACGGTTAAAATTTGAAATTCAAAAACTTACCTTGGTCGAGTTGTGGAACTCGATCGAGTTGCCCTTGTTTCTAGCTCGATCGAGCTGTCGGTCGAGCTGGCTTCTTGTCACCTAAACTTAACTTATTGAAAGGTTAAAGACACAAAAATAGATAGAAATTGCATAAAGAATATGTACAAGGATAGTCATGGGACTTCCTCCCAAGTGAGCTTGTTTAAGGTCCCATAGCTTGACCTTTACCTCTTAGGCATTGGTTGAGCTAGTCCCACCATCAAGGGTGATAGTGAGGACTTGAGACAGAAGCTCCTTTAGCTTGGTTGGGTCCCTGGACTGTCTGAAGTGACCAAGGCCTTGGCTCTAGAGAATGGTCTTGATCTCTCCCTTGTACCTTATCTTGTACTCAATCTTCCCATTTTCAAACTTGGTGGGGAACAAGGTCATAGTGAGCTGAGATGGCTTGGCTGAGGAAACCTGAGCTGGTGGGATCTTTCTTTTCTCTCCCACAAGTGCCTTTGAGGCTGCATCCTCCCCTTCTTTTAGAGCCTTCCTAGTGGCTCATCAAACAAAGCTTGAAGGCTTTCCTTCATCAAGCACACAATGGGCTTGAACAAGTCTATCAGCTCGTGGCCTATCAGATCGTGGTCTCTCAACTCTAGCCCTCTCAAGCGTGGTTTCTCAATCCTTGGTCCTTATCAACTCCTTTGTCCTTCTCAACCTTATCTCTCACAACTCTTGGCTCTTTGTCAACTTTTCCTTCACAACCTTTAGCAACTTCAGGACTCTTGGAAAGAGGAGTGCTTTGTCAATTGTGGCACAAAAGTCTGACCTCTAGGCTGCAAGCGATATGACACCAAACTATTCACCTTGTGAAGATCACTTCTTGCTTGTGAAAGTCTATTGAAGCGCCAACTGTGCTAAGGAATGGGGTTCCCAATAGCAGAGGTAGATCCTTCTCTTCTTCCATCTCCATGACAGTGAGATCAGTTTGGATGATGCATTCTCCAATTTTCAAGTGATAGTTCTTGAACACACCAAGAGGAGACTTAGAAGTTGCATCTCCAAACATGATTGAAGTAGTAGGGCGCTGCAATGCTCCAGCAATGCCAAGCTTTCTGCCATTGTGAGAGAGATCAGGTTGATGCTTGCACCAGAATCCACCAAGGCATTGTCAAGCTCAAGATGCCCAAGTGTGCAAGGGAGAGTGAATTTCCCTTGATCCTTCACCTTTGGTAAGAAAGTAGGTGAAGTAAGCAGGTTGATTTGGTGAGTAGACTTTCCAGAAGCTCTGAAACTTTATCCTGTTAGCCATAACATCTTGATCACTTCATTTGCTCAAATGCCTCACTCATGCTTTCCATAGAAGGCAACTCAATTCCAATCTCACTGAGGTCTCTTCTGAACTTGTGAATCACTTCCTTATGGCTTGACTAAGTAGGCGGACTGATGAGGTCAACTGGCTGGTAAGGATCAAGCAAAATCGGCTTGAGGACAGATGATGTCTGACTCGATCGAGCTAGAGTTCGACTCGATCGAGCTGCCGATCGAGCTTGTTGTGCGAGCTCAACTGGTGAAGTGTGAATGGACAGTAGTGCTGCACTTCAGGTTGATCAATCTGGACTCCAGGAGCCTCAGCAGCAACAATCTCGTCATCATTCAGCAGCAAACAAACTCTTCCATGACTCTCTCTTGATCCTCTTCTTCATCAAGACCTTCTTGAGTGAAGATGACCTTGCACTGTTCCTTGGGGTTCTGAATAGCTTTACCAGGTAGTTGTCCTTGCTTTGTAGCAGCAGCAACAGAAGAAGCATGATTCTCCAGAGAGTACACTCTTGTGTTGAGATTCTCAATCTTGGAGTTGATTTCAGCTAGCTTCTTGCTTGTGTCCACAACACCATCAGCTTGCCCTTGAAGCAATTGTTTCAAGCATAGCCTTGAGCTCATTCTCAGGTGTAGGTGCAGGCTGGGGTGGTTGGTGGGGAAAGCCAGGTGGTATGTGCATTTGCTGACCAGGAAAAGTCCCTTGAGGGCCTTGGTAGTTGTTTTTGACCATACCCATGTTGTGGGCTTGACTCGATCGAGCTTGCTTGTTGTTGAGGATAACCTGGTCCTGAGGGTTAGCAACATCAGTGTTTCGGTATGACATGGCTGGGTTGGACTTGTAATTATAGTATCCTTTGTTGTAACCTCCTTGCCCATTGCTCATGTAACATACTTCAGCAAATTGTGTATCCTCCCCTTCTTGGACTGGTTCCATCTCTTCAGCAGACACAAATTGACTTTCTTCATTGTGGACTGAGCTAAGATAAGCTTATCCAACTTCTCATTCAAATTTAACATCTTTTCTCAATTTCTCATCGGACTCGATCGAGTGGTGGGTCGAGCTCCGGTTGGTGCGATCATACTCTTCTCCATAGCTTCCATTGAGTTTGCAATGTTCTCCACAAGCTGCCAGCCATCATCCACATCCTGATTGAGGAAGTTCCCATTGCTGGCTGTGTCAACATCTCCTATACCTTGCCAAGCAACCTCTATAAAGAGTAGAAGTGACTCATTGTTGAATCCATGATGTGGGCACTGACTTGTGTAGCCTTTGAACCTCTCCCAAGCCTCAGCAAAATGTCTCATTGTTCCTCTGATGAAGCTGATATCTCCTCCTTAGCTTGGCTGTGCGACCGGTGGAGAAAAACTTAGCAAGAAAGGCCTTCTTGCATTCATCCCAAGTGGTGATTGTGCCATGGGGCAAGCTCTTCTCCCATTGGTGAGCTTTGTCAGCTAGAGACATAGGAAAGAGTCTCAGCTTGATGGCATCTTCAGAGACACCATTGATCTTTGTCAAATCACAAAGCCTATCAAACTCATCAAGGTGGTCAATGGGGTCTTCACTTGGCAATCCATGGAACATCTTGTTCTGCACAAGGTTGATCATTCCCAGCTTGATCTCAAAGTTGTGGTTCTGCACTGGTGGTGGAACAATCCCTTGTCTCTGTTGATGGCGGTTTGGAGCATCTCCTAGACCAATCGGTCGAGTTTGCCTAGCTCGACCGAGTCCATTGCCCAAAGGGTTTCCATTCCCCTCTGGTACATCCATGTATCAGTAACAAGCACCTCAGGTTCCTCTTGTACCCTCTGACCTCTGAACTTCTCTTTCTACCCGTGTGAAATCTAGCTCGACCAAGTCTTCTGTTGACCGACTCGATCGAGTTCGCATACACCTGCAAAAAGAGACAAAAACCCAGCAATACAAAGAACAGGGGTGGTATAGCTTGATCGTCCAAGTGTATTGAAACTCAAATGCAACAAAATTCAACCCAAATCGGCAACGGCGCCAAATTGATGATAGGATTTTGTGTGATGTGATGATATGAAATGATATGAGGTGGAATGCAACAGTGGTAATGAAGATGGATGGTATGGTGCAAACACAATCACAATCAATCAATTCCCTTAACCATCATAGTCATTGAAGTATAAGGGTATCAATCCAAAAGGGTGAATGTTGCTCTTATGAATATACCTCAAGCAAGACAGTAAATAAGATGATAAGTAACTCTAACAACCTAAAGAAATGAAATGCAGTGCAATAAGTAAAAGAAAGCAGTAAAGCAAGCAGCTCGACCAAGGACTCGAGTCGAGTGGGAACAGAGTAACCAGCTCGATCGAGTTGAGGGTCGAGTTAGCGTAAAAAGCGATAAAGGCAGGAACTTTAACAAGCTAATGCGAATTAGGGTCTAAGACAGGGTCTTACAACTAGAGGAAGACTATACTTAATCAATCTTGCTCTTAAACAACTTGTATCAAGGTATCTCTTGATATTGAGCTTCTCAATGCCTAGCTAACCCTTTCCCAAGGTGAAAGCTATCAACCAAGGACATGATCTCAGAAACAGGGGGTTAGCCAGTGAGAATCAAGCCTTGGAGGCATAGGATCATTGCTCAAACTAATCCATCCAACCCTATGAACTCCATTTCGAGAGCAAGAGTTTATTGGAGCTCTTAGTGGACCTTTTCCAAGCGATTTCCATCACTTCCATGTGGAAATCGCCTATGACATACAAGCCAGGGGTAGTGGTCATGTAGCCTTAAGTTTGTCCAAAAGAGAGAGATTTCTAGATTAAGAACATAAGCAAAAGGATTAAGCATAAGATCCTCTAATCTAGCCCATCTCAAACCCTAAAGGTAACTACTCACTACACATGAATGAAAACACAAGCAAATGCAATGAAATAGACATTAAAGAAAGAGGAGATAAAATAAACAACTTTTATTGAAATAAGCAAGTGCAAATACAAAGAAATATCCAGATCTAGGATTCAAGAGCAAGAGCTCAAGAACACAAAGATGGATTAAGGGTTGCAAAAAGTAAAAGACAAAATTAAAGAAAAGCTAAAACAAAAGTAAGCTAAAGATTGTTGTCTTTTTCGTGGCTTAGAGCCTTTAAATACAAAGGAGATTAGGTTTAGGGTCAAAGGGAAGTCAAGGGGGAAGCAACATTTTTCGGGTTTGACTGTTGACTTCTCAGCTCGATCGAGTTGAAGCTTGGCCGGTCGAGTTGAGGAACTCGATGGTTGGTCGAGTAGATGGTCGAGCTGGTCTTCAAGATGACTTCCTCCTTCTTCCTTTGCGTGTCCAGTTGAGCTGCGTCCATGCGCCAAGTCCTTCCTTTGCTCCTACGTGCTCCAAATGCTCCAAAAGACCTATTTCAAGGACCAAACATGCATATGTATGCAAATGCAACCTAAAACTACTATGAATGCATAAGAAGGAAAAGGAACAAGATATGATGCTAATGGATGCTAAAACTATGCAAAAGATGCATAAAAGATGTACTAAAACCATGTAAAATGCAAGTACATCAACCACTAAGCCATTTAAGCTCACATGTTGCATCCGCCATAGACCAATATTCCGCTTCTGCAGATGAACGTGAGACGGTATGTTGTTTCTTTGTCTTCCAAGAGATAAGAGAATCACCAATAAAAACAACGTAAGAGTTGAGACACCGTCGTGCTCGCGGACAAGCATTATAGGCAGAATCACAAAGCCGTAAGCTTCATATCACAATCAGATCGTAACATTATACCCTGTCCAGGACATCCTTTGAGATACTTGACAACTCGTAACCCTGCGAGCCAATGTTCCTCCAATGGATTCTGCATAAACTGGGACAGAATATGAACATTGTAGCTGAGCTCCAGACGTGTAAAAGTGAGATAGATATGACGTCTATACTGTTGGGGATTCGTATGTGGTGGAGCTGAAGCAAGAGCGAGTTTGTGATTTAATTCTGTTGGAACAGAGCATGGTTTAGCATCAAGAAGACCAGCGTCAGCAATGATGTCGAGAGCATATTTTCGTTGTGAAACATAAATCCCTTCTGGTCCACGAGCAATTTCAAGCCCAAGAAAATATTTTAATTTTCCCAAATCCTTCATGTGAAAACATTGGTGAAGGTAGTGCTTGAATCGCTCATTAGTAGAGACATCATTCCCTGCAATAATAAAATCATCCACATATACCAAGATGTGAAGACTTATATTGCCGTGAGTAAGTGAGAATAACGAATAGTCTTCATAGCATTGCAAAAAAACCGAAATTCTTGAGAGCTTGACTAAGTTTAGAAAACCAACACCTAGGTGCTTGCTTCAGTCAATATAGAGATTTCCTTAGTCGACTGATGCGGGTTTAGATTGCCTCAAATTTTCACAATTTATAAACCCAACTAGTTGAGCTGCAAGTGCACAGCCGTGTTGTAGTCGGGGTCGAACACAAGGAGGAAGTGTTCTTGCTTAACACCTTGTGAGATTGAGTTGTAGCTAGCTCGAGATATTGGATGGTTTTGGACCTAAAATAAGAAAGCAAAACAAAGAAATGTGAGTGAGGTTGTAAACAATTTAAAACAAGAGTTAGGCAAAGGACAATCATATGGAGCAATGATGAAAAGATAGTTGCATGGGATTTGTGTAGAGCCGTCTTGAACATGAATCACTAGTGTATGGTCTTTCCACTGTCGTGGCTCCAACCACTATGTTTAAAACAACCTAATATACTCAGCTTTCGTTGGCTATTAGTATTGCAAACATGCATTAAAGGTGATCAAGATTCAATTGTTCACAATGAACCATAACTCAACTTTCGTTGGCTATGATCATTGCTCACCAAATACTAGTTCGAGATCTAGATTCAGCACTGTCGTGGTTCTATTTCTCTAAGATCAGATTACTAGATGTACGGTAGAGTAATCATGCATTAAGTTCAAGTAAAGGTGAAGATCCATAAGATAAATCCCAATAAGTTGCAACACAATCAAATCATCACGGCCACCATAGATCTCCTCGGCCTAACTAAGAGATCTACTCGGCCATGATGCAAACAAGCAAGCAAAGCATGATTGAAAGCATTATGCAAGTATTAAAAGAGATAAAGGGATGAAGAAAGCTTCTCTATTGATGAACAAAGTCGGATTCTCCCTTGAAACTCTTAGAATCAAATACAAAGAAATGGAAATAATGAAACAAGAAAGAACAAGAGTTGAGCGGCGCCTCCTTCTTCTAGACGACTCCTAGGGCTTCTCTCTTGGCGGCTCTCTTCTATGGACTCTCTTTTCACAAACTCACACACACGACTCTCTTCTTCAGCGGCTAAAAACATGTATATATGGGCGAAGTCGAGTAGGGTTTTCTTCATGCCGGAAAAGGAAAGTTTCCCATGAGCCGAGCCTTCTCCTCCACGTCGTGTATGGGCCGACATTGTACCAAGGAAAGCTCCAAACATTAGCCAGGCCTCTTCTTTATTCATTCAAGGCCTTTGGCGCTGCTGCTCGGGCCATTAGACACTCCAAATCCTCCATGGGCTTCGTTTGCTCGCTTACCGGACATGTCTCGGTAGAAAATAAGTTGGCCTTATAGTTGATCCAAATGGCTTCATTCCACTTCGACGTGATGCATGACTCAAGTATCTATCTTTCCATATCAAGATCGTGACTTTTGGACGTCGGGAACTCCTCCGCACGCGGCCAAACTTCCGAAGCTTCGTTCTGCTCGCTAGCGAGAACTAACACTTGGAGATAAAATGATGTTCTTGACTTGGAAACTTGCATGGAATTGGTTTGAGACTCTTTTACTCCTTTTTGCATCCTTTTTGATGGTTTCACCTAAAAGACTTCAAATCCCACAAATACAAGAAAACTACCTCTAAAGGCAAAGAATCTTGCAAAAACCGTTTGAAAACATAAATAGTTATATAGTAAAATCATGTAAAATATGGTGATATCATCGACATACGTTAGAAGGATCATCACTTTCAAAGCCTGGAGGTAACTTCATATAACTTTCCTCATCGAGATCTCCATGTAAGAAAGCGTTATGTACGTCCATTTGACAAACCGTCCATCCTTGTTCCGAAGTTACAGCTAAAAGAAATCGAACCGTGGCCATTTTAGGGACTGGAGCATACCTGTCGGTGTATTCAATTCCTTCTATCTAGGTAAAAGCTTAATTGTATTGATTCACATAGCATGGTATTTGTACAAGAATGGTAACGACTATGAAACCTCACACAATAGAAAGTTATCCTTACTACAATATAGGAATATATCCTTATCTCAATAATCTTTCTCTTTCTCTTTCAGATAAAAATGGCTTAAAGATGGTTTTTCCCAAATGATGATCCAAAATAATTGTTAGAATATCATTTTGGTTTGAAGGTGTAATAATAATTGTCTGATTCAAAATCAACAAAAACAATTTAAGACCAGCCTTTTGTTAGAGGAGAAATTAGCACATTTCCCTGAGCCGTCATCATTAGTAAAATCACAAACTCCAATCCGACTTTAGGCCTACCCTCCTCAACAAAATGGCAAGACTTGAGGAGAAAGGCACAACTCATGAGAAAATGTAAACAAACCCTCATGCCGACTCGAAAAATGGGAGGAAATCGAGAACAAGAGGAAGTTTTCCATATCGCTAAAGAGGAAGTTTTCCATATCGCTAAAGAGGAAGTTTTCCATATCGCCGGAAGGAAAATATTCACCAAGGAGCCGACCTATCAACATTATATAATGATGGAGGGATCGGATCATCTAGAATTACTCACAAGAAATCTAGGCTTAGCATTCTCTTTACTTTCCTGTTCGCTTTCCTCTTGTTCATCATAGTTCATCTGGTCAAGCATATTGGCGAGATAACATCTTTTGTAATCTTCCTGATATTCTTCGAGTTAATCAAACCTCCAGTTTCCTAAACTCACATCTTTGGTATCCCGTCTTAACGAGTGCTATCTCAGATCTAACAATTGGCGCCCACCGTGGGGCTGGAAACGCTTCTCGCTATTCATCTTGTAGGTATCTAGACTTTTACGAAGATACAACCATGGTGAACTCGAAAGAGAACACCCCTACCGGGAGTCCATCCCGAACAGAAAGAAACCCAAGCGATGATCAGCCGCCACCGACGGTAGATAAGTCGCTGCACGCTGAAGACAGGGACAAATCTGTCCCCTCAAGAAGTGGATCGACTTCGCCGCGAAGATCTTTTTCGCCGCGAAGATCTACTTCGCCGCGACGATCTGCATCGCCAAGGATATGACGAGAGCCCTCCTCCGTCCACACGACGCCGCTCGAAGAAATCCTCTTCGAGCGACAAGCCTCGCAACCCGAAGAAATCTTCTTCGAGCGACAAACTCCGCAAACACATGGAGAGTCTCGTCAAGCCGCTAGCTGAAGGCTTTGAGGCAATGCAAGCACAGCAGAAGAAGACTCATGAGCAAGTGGAGGCCTTGGCCCGAGAAGACGACGAGGAACCGTTGGATCCCGCAGCCGCGACGATCAACGGAACCACTACTCGCCCAGCACGTTTTGGCCGACGAGCGGCCCTAGAATTCGAACGAATGAACCGTCGTCTCGACGAGGTCAATTCTAAGATTCATCGCGCCACTAGCTCAGCCCCGGCGTTGACGAAAGCACTTGCCGATACCCGGAAGAGCCCGCTCACTCGCGGGCTCCGCCAGATCGATCTGCGTGAGAATTCGACTCAAGATCGACTCTTACACTGGAGAAGAAGACCCCAAGAAGTGGCTGACAGCGTTCAATCTCGCCATGACAAGGGAGAAAAACAAATCCTACGACGAGAAGGAAGCCAACTACTGTCAAGTATTCGTCGAACACATGACGAAGGATGCCTTGACCTGGTTCTCCAACCTCCCTGCCGAGTCAATCCATAACTTCGACGACTTGACTAATGCTTTCCTGAAGCATTACTCCATGGATATGACCCGAGTCACGCGGAACATGTTCACCACGACGCAAGCACAAGGTGAACCATTACATAGTTTCATGGAAAGGTTCAAGCAAGCAGCTCGCGACATGCCCGACAGTTTCCCGCTAGAAGCACTCCGTAACGGCCTCTGGTACGACTCCAAATTCAAGGAGGACTTATCACTAAAGACTCCCACAATTTTGGAAGACGCATTCCATCACTCCCAGAGCTACATCTTCCTCGAGGAAGACAAGCCTTTCTATGCCGAGAAGCATGGAGATAGGAGGACGGCCCCGCCCAAACCTAGAGAAGAAGCCGTGGAGGTACGGAGGAAACCCGACCCCAAAAGATCGCTCCTCACATCGTTCGCGGCAGCAGATGACGAGTCCGAGCAAGAATCGTGGTATGCCGCGACAATTTCAACGCCTCCCGACGCTGCCCCACTCAGAGACGATAACGACACCAAAGCATTCTGCAAGATCCATGGGAGAACCGGCCACTCCAACGAAAACTGTAAGAACCTCATCAGTAACCTCATCCGCATGTACCATCGAGGAGATATTCCCCCGATGGACGGCGACAGTGTAATACCCCTCACGATGGCTAAGCACGTGATGGGACGGATAGTTAAAACAACCATCCCACAGAGGATCTATCCCACAAGATATACAAATGTCCCGGGATGGAGGTATTCCGGACATTTCCAAGCAGCTATCTGAAAGCTCAGAAACATGGAAATGACAGAAGGATTAAAATGGGAGATTTCAATTCTCAAGCACGACGGGAACGAAACCCTCCGAACAAGGAAACGTACAAAACCCTTTGGAAAGGGAAACGTACAAAACCCTCTGCAAGAAGAAACGTGGGAAGGAGCACATCATCTCAAGACCAATGGGATGTTGACACCAGCAGCTTAAAGGATAAGAGTGGTCTGAACCAATGAGAAGGCTACACTCAGCTACTGAGTAAGGACGAAGGAGTTCTAGGCCAATCAAGTGATGGCACTCAACAACTGAGGGAAGGAGCCAATGGAAAGGAGCCACTTGATCCAGGAAGATAGGAACAAGGAGGAGATGTTCATCCTCAACGAACCAATCACGTTCAGCCATCCAGCAGCTTGGGGAATGGACCAATGGGAAGGTGCCATTCGACCCAAGTGGATGGGGATGGGAGAAGCAGCTCCAGGCGTGCTCCCATGCCATTGGTTGCATGCAGAAGCAAGGTGTCGCGTTCTGAAGCCATCAGACGCCACCTTGAGCTTCCGGAAAACCTATATAAAGACCCCCTTGGTCTTCACTTCCAAACCACACCAAAACTGAAATCTAGAGAGAAAAACTAGAAAGAGAAAGAGAGAGGGCGTGGAGAAGAAGAGAAAGAATAAGTTAATATCATACGACGGTATGATCCGACTAACAGTGAGGTTAGGTCGATGAGTGAGGGCCAGTCAGGTTACTGTGTGTTTCCTGGCGCGGTGCTTCGCGTGTGCGTGTAATGAGTTCCCTTGGTACACCAGTTAGAGGTTTAACCGGTGAAGCAATGGAGTATAGACTGAGGGTTAAGTACATGAGTACTTGTCGTAGTGTTGATTGCATTTTAATTGCATGTGTGATTGCTCTTAATTTGCAGGTGGTATGCATATATTATGCATACTTTTATTTGATGCAGGTGGCGGGGTGATAAGCCCATGGTTTAGAATTGAGCATTGTTATGTGTTGCTTATAATCTCTGATTGGTCGTACATGTTCTTGTTTGATTGTTGTGCAGTCAGTTTGAGGCTATAGCAGCATTACACAATGTGTTTTATTTTTGGGGTTGGGTTTGGGGAATAACCTTTGTATAGAGGGTCCTGAACTCATAGTAACATTAGGTTACTCATGACAATTATTTGTGTTTCAGGAAGTTTGGAGTAGATAGCCCGTGGGCGGGAGGCAGAACACTCGAAGACCGGAGTAGTTTGCTTGGCTTTTGTTAAAAACTCGATTTCGGGTAATGTATTGCAATGTCTTTCTTTTGGGCGTTAGGCCATGCCGGCAATGTAGGATAAGGTTTTGTAAGAACATGTTTTCAGTGTTTGAAATATAAAGTTATGTTTTTGAAAACCCGGCTTACTGGAATGATATTAGCTAGTCCAAGCTAACACAACTCAAGACTAGAGGTAAAGGTTGCAAAGCCTTAACCAATGGTCGAGAGGGTCGTATTCATCAGGTTAACTGGCCTGGGCTCTGATGTGTTCTGAGACCTGGGATGATTACTTGATGGACCTACACAATTGTGACATCTGCGGTTTAGTCTATTTATATTCCGAATCGGGGGTGTTACAAATGGTGGTATCAGAGCGTGGTTCATGGTCATGCTCACTGGGAATGCCGTTTTCAAAATGTCTTACCGAGTCAAAGGAGTCGCAAAAGCCAAATTACGAATCGGGTCTGTTCTGCCTATTAGGATTAGATGTTAGGTTGTTTACTAATTGGTTTCAGGATGTCGAGTCACGATTGGTCGAGGGATTTATCATTGGGTCGGGATGCGCCAGAAGATGGGATAGGAAGAGAGACATCAGATGTACCAACGCACGACATAGAGGAAGATTGGGATGAGGGGATGATGCATGGTTATATGCCACAGACTGATAGTCCAGCCGAGGATCGAGACTACGAGAACCCCGGAAGGAGAGACCACTCAATCTCTCCTTATATATCCTCCATTCACTCTCATGGGACAAGATCTCGAGTTCATCATCCACAAATCATGGATGGGAATGCTCGGGGTGAGCATTCCGGATCCGCTAATCAACCAGCACGGCAAGATGCTAGGCCACTGATGGAACAAGACGGTCAACAACGAGCCGATCCAACTCTTTCCATGGTGCATGATCTCTTATCTCAAGTTCTTCACCGAGCTGCATCAGGTCCGGGAAATGGAGCAACTCCACCACCAGACTTTCTCAAAATAGTAACTACTATGAAGACTTTGGGAACTTACCACTTTGGAGGCGAGCCAGATCCTTATCAGGCGGATTCATGGTTATAATGCATAGAGAAGAACTTCACCGCAACCAGATGTCCAAACGACTTCAAGAAGGACGTCGGAGTTTACTACTTAGCAAAGGAGGCATTAAACTGGTGGGAGAGTGTAGATCGACAGAAGGAGTATCAAATCAACACCTGGGAAAAATTCATGGAAGAATTTGAGCAAAAGTACTTCCCACCTGAAGCAAGAGATCGCTTAGCTCAAGAATTTCTCCGACTTGAGCAAGGAGAAAAGAGTGTAAGGGAGTATGAAGCAGAATTTATGAGACTTCAGCGTTATGTCTCATATTGCAATGTGGATGATAAGGCCTTGGTGAGGCAATTCATGCAAGGTCTGAAACCGGAGATAGGAAGTCGACTTCAGTCAGCCACTTTCACCAACCCCCATGAGATAATAGAGAGAGCAGTGAATGTGGAGGCATATCTACTTAAGGAGAAGGCTGCTTGGAATAAACGAAAGATAGAATCCAAGACAGCAAGCAAGGCAAAGAAGGCAAACCAGTCATCCAACCAACCTAATCCCAGTAAAGGTGGACAACCATCTGGAGATGAAAATAAGAAATGTTATACATGTGGAAAGATGGGACATGTCGCGCGGATGTGTTACCGTAATAGGCCGGCAGGAGCTTCGGCTAAATGTTTCTCATGTGGTGAGCAAGGGCATTACTCAAATGCCTGTCCTCGTAAGGCTGGTGGTGCAGCAAAAGGCGCTGACAAGGAAGCATCGACCCGACCAATGAAAGAATCCCCGGCTAACCGGCTAACTAACACGGGTAAGGTGTATGCTTTAGAATCAGGACCATCAAACCCGTCGGGACAAACCCAAGGTCCCATTACAGGTATGAAAGGGCGCTAACTCTATCTTGTTTTAGAGTTTGATTAATTGTGGTGTGATTGCTTGCTTGATTAGTAAATGTATTGGTATTGGGTGATGCTTGGAACAATATGTGTAGGTAGTAACCTGACACATGTTTTGTTTGATTCGGGAGCGACACATAGTTTTGTGACTCCTGAAGTAGCATCTCGTTTTGGGGATGCCTATAAGATAGGATTGGTGGAGGTTAATATATTAACCCCTGGAGACCAAGTCCTTAAGGCATCCCGTGTAGTTTTCGGTGTGCCTGTTGAATTGCAGGGAGACACCTTGAAGGCTGACCTACTAGTCCTACCACTAGCCCGCTTTGAAGTAATTGATGTACTTGCATTTTACATAGTTTTAGCACATCTTTTATGCATCTTTTGCATAGTTTTAGCTTTCATTTGCATCATATCTTGTTCCTTTTCTCTTCTTATGCATTTATGTTAGTTTTAGGTTGCATTTGCATACATATGCATGTTTGGTCCTTTGAAATAGGTCTTTTGGAGCATTCTGGAGCATATGGGACATAAGGAGCATGGAGGGACTTGGCACATGGAAGCAGCTCAACTGGATACGCAAAGGAAGAAGGGAGAAGCCATCTTGAAGACCAGCTCGACCGTCTAAGCTTCAACTCGATCGAGCTGAGAAGTCAACAGTCAAACCCGAAAAATGTTGCTTCCCCCTTGACTTTCCTTTGACCCTAAACCTAATCCCCTTTGTATTTAAAGGCTCTTAGCCACAAAAAAACCCCAAAAGCTTTAGATTACTTTTGTTTTAGTCTCTCTTAATTTATTGTACTTTTACTTTTTAGAGATCTAATCCTATCTTTGTGTTCTTGAAGCTCTTGCTTCTTGAATC